CTTGCTGTGCATCCCAGGCTGTTCTCACACCCTTAGCAATCCTCTTTTTTCAGCCTCCCAAGTGCTGGAATTACAGGTGTGTACACCAAACCCAGATGAAATTAAGGCTTTTTAAAACATCTAAACTTGTAATCTCAGCACTTGGGAGGATGAATCAGGAGGATTGCCTTAAATATGAGGCCAGCTTAAGCTACAAAGTGAGTTCAAGGCCAGCCTATCTCAAAACACACACACACACACACACACACAAATCTGTAACTAAGGAGATCTGGCCATGGTGGGGCTCAGGCAGCTTATTCACCTGCCCTCTTGGTAAGCGCCCCAGCGGTGAGGGCCAGGAGGAGAACCATTACCTGTGAGCCTACTGGGCTGCCACTGGGCTAAAAATCAAGCACCATTCCCCTCCCCCCATAGCTACTGGGAATAGATGTCTCAGCATCTCTTGGGAGGATGACCATATGCAGTACAGCAAATATGGGGGATTTCCTTCCCTCTTCTGTTTGAAGGCATAGGTTGTTTTCACTGTTTTGTTATGTTTCTTTTGCTCTGTTCAGTATTCTCAATTGGTTTTATAATGTTCTATTTTTGGCTTGATTTTGCTATACTTAATTGACTGGACAGATATTGTGAAGTTAAAAAGATATACCATAGTACCTGTTATTACTATCCCAGTATCCTTCTGTGACATCCTGTACCAATTTCACTGCATTGTCTCAATTGGCTTTGTTCTGTCTTGTGCTGTTGCATTTTTACTACTTTCAAAATAAAATTAAAAAAAAAAAGATGTGATCTGGTCGGGATATAGCTCTGTGCTCCGGTGACTTCCTAGCAACAGCAGGCACGAGGCAGCGGGTTTAACTCCTAGTATCAAAGAATAAAATAAAACACATGAAAAAATAAAAAATAAAAGAATCTGTAACTAGAATATTAAATAAGTTACTTAAAATATCATGTTACTATATAAATACAATTTTCAAGGCCTGGGGATTTAGCTCAGTGGCATAAGCGCCTGCCTTGCAAGTGTGTGGTCGTGAGTTCGATCCCTGGTATCGATAAAAAAACAACAACAACAAAAAACAAACAAACAAAAAAAAAAAACAAAAAACACAATTTTCAGTTCCCACAAAGGAAACAAATACATTTTAATAATTTGTAATTTCTTATAGACATTGCTACTTAACTGAACTAGATTTCCCTAGAGTATACACATAAACTAAACAATTTTTGATTAGGTAATGTTTAAATGTTTTCAAGAGGGGGAAAAAGAAAGAAACTCCTGGCAAGTGAAAGAGAGAGAGACAGAGAGAGAGAGAGAGAGAGAGAGAGAGAGAGAGAGAGAGAGACAGAGACAGAGACAGAGAGGGAACGCAAGGCAAATTATGGTGGTGCATAATTGTAATCCTAGCTGCTATGGAAACTGAGGTTAGAGGATCATGAGTAAGAGGCCAGCCTAGGCAATGTAACAAGAACCTGCCTCAGAATAAAAAATAAAAGAGCCTGGGAGATAACTCAATGGTAAAGTTCTCCTCAATTTAATTTTCAGTACCAAAAATAAACAAAACAAAACAAGAGTGAGAGCTGGGTGTGCTGGCACATGCCTGTAACCTTAGCACTTGGAGGGCTGAAATAGGAGGATTGGCATGAGTTAGAGGCCAGCCTGGGGTATATATAGCGAATTTAAAACCATCCTGAACTATATAGCAAGGTCCTGTCTCATACAAAACCAAACCAAACCAAACCAAGAGTGAGAATGCTTTAGTCAGATTTTCATCACTGGGACAAATACCCAACACTTGTACTTAAAGGAGAGGTCTCACTGGGCTCCCAGTTTCAGAGGACTCAGTCCATAGTCATTTGGTTCCAGGACAGGAACATGGAGGAGGGGCCTGACAAAAGCAAGTTGCTCAAACTGTGGAGGTTGGGAAGCCGAGCCGGGGAACAGCCACAGAAGGGAAGGAGCAAAAGCCCACATAAAGTACACAAGGTCACACCTTCATGACTCACCCAGAGACACCCAAAAGGGTTTACTGAACTACTAGGCATTTCTTAATCCAACCAAGTTGACAAATTTATACTAAAATGAGGGAAAAAATGAGAAGCTACCTCAGACAAATATGAAACCATCACTCAAAATGACTAGAATTATGTTTTCTTTGCCAGGAGAAGGAAATCAGTTTAAATGTAAAATGCAAATTAATTCTCTGTCTCTGTCTCTGTCTCCCTTTTAAGAAGAGTCTCTAACAAATGATGCTGCGAAAACTGGATATTCATATGTAGAACACTGAAACTAGATTACTCTCACCCTGTACAAAAATCAATTGAAAATAGATTGTAGGCTTAGGCATAAGACCTAAAACTTTGAAACTGCTAGAATAAAGCATAGGAAAACACTTGAAGCCAAATCAAGGGGAAAAAACTTTCTGAATAAAACTCTAATACCACAAGAATACATAGCAAAAATCCTGTAAGTTTGTATCATTTCTACCCTTTTTTAAAAATCTCCATGTATTCTTTTGTTTCCTTTTCTTTAAATAAAAAAAAAGAATACATAGCAAAAATCAACAAATGGTAGTAGATCAAATTAAAACATTTCTACACATTAAGGAAAACAACTAACATAGTGAAGAGTCACCCTATGGAATAGGAAAAAAAATCTTTGCTAATTACTCTTTTAACAGAAAATTAAAAATAGAATATATAAAGAACGCAAAATACCATGAAACAGCCCAACCAATAAATGAACAGAGTACCTTGTGTTAGCTGACATGTGATCCATAAAGTCAGTGTTCATGCAACTTTGTAGCTCCGGGGCTTAGCCAAAGAAAATGAAACAAAGTTGTTTTTTTTTTTTTGTTTTTTTTTTTTTTTCCCCAGGGACACAAAACTAAACATTCTTTATCAGAGTTCTGAGATAATGCCAATTTTATCCAGTCAAGGCCTGAAAATACCTTCGAAACTGTAGTCTCTGGGGCTGGTTATAGGGTAGACTTATTGGCCCTTGATTGATAGATAAATTTATCTGGTTAATTCTGAGAACAAATGAGACTCTGAGCTACTAAACAGTTGCAAGACTCAGAGAAGTTGGTATCCCCAAATTCTTATAGGGTCAAGTAATATTCAATCATGAGAGATAATGCATTTATGATGCTTTTAGATATCCAGGCCTGCACACCAGTCTTTTCTGTACAGACTTTCTCTTAGAGATGAGCACATATTCAAAACACTAGACAAGCATACAGACCACAGAAATAGGTGTAATAGCCCAGAAGACAGTTTCACCAAGAAAAAGACAAATTTAACCAGATAACCAAAAACTCTAGGGAGTCCTTATTCTGATAGAAAAACAAAAGCAAAAATAAATCTACGGCTTAAGGATCATAAGCAAATATCAGAGTTCAGTTCAGCATGAATCTACCTCCTAGCCATGAGCAGAATGGCACTGCAAAGAGAAACACAAGAGGTTTTGCCTGTGCACACAATTATCAAGATCCTCAGCTGAATCTCTGGATCCTCCATATCTGACCATATCCTCACAGCCAAAGGCCACCAGCAATGCAACTGTGATTGAATAAAGGAAACTGGACACAGATTGGGGAACCACAAGCATCTTGTCAACTGCATGCTTGAGAGGGCTTATTAGAGGACTGAGGATTGTGTTAGGTGATTTCTTAGGAGAGTTTAAGAAAGGAAAGATTTGCTATAGGTTGGATGCTGCCCAAGTGGAAATAATCCTTTTTGGTTTTCTTAAAAATTACAATATGCAAGAAAAGAATCAGGGCTCATGATCTATTTGTTAAAGTAGAAACCATCAGTGAGGTGGTGCATGCCTGTAATCTTAGTTGCTTAGGAGACTGGTAGGATCACTGAGTTCAGGAGGCGGAGACTAGCCTGGGAGGGCAACATAGTGAGCCAAGGTCTCCAAAAAGAGTAATTATTTGGTCATTTTTTTGTGTGTGGTTTGGACAATGTTCTTTTTACCTTCAGAAATTACTACAGAATAGTCTTTTTCTCCATCTATTGAAGCGTGACATTGTCTGATGTTAGTGTTTTGTGAAATTGTGCTCAACTGGACATCACTGCTTTGCGTGTAGTACCAGGCTAGCTCCTAGCAACAGCAAGACTTCTGGAGGAGAACGCAAGCCAGCTTCCAGCTGCCAGGGGCTGCCTTTTCTTTTCCCCTGCTGCACTTGCAAAATCAGATTGGGCAACCCTTTGGCAGAACGTGAGCTCTCTGCATAACCACAGACCCATTTCTCTCCGATGCTTTATAGCTGGCCCACTCACTCATTTATACTCTCACCTGCTCCTGAGGGGCGTTTAAACAGAAAAGGAACCAGCCAAACAAGCTCAGAGAAAAGTGACTTGTGTAGGTTTTCCCAGTGAACTATCAGCAAAACTGCAACTAGAACTCTCCCTGTGGTTTTTCTTTCCAGCCCCTTGCTAGATGTTAAGACAGACTGTTAAACCCCGTAGGTATCGGCCTGTAAACTTGAGGCAGATTGGGTCAGATAAAAATACTTCTCACTGCTTTCTCGCACACAAGCGTTTCTATATTATTTCTTCTTTTGGGATGCGATGCTAGGTCTCAACAAGTCTTTGCTCCAGCCACTTCTGACCTTCCTGCTCTTCAGGTCCACCAAGCTAGTTCCTTCCGGCACGAACGTCTCTGCACTCTTCCCTCGCATCTCCACGTGGCTGCCTCCCCTCAACTGCTCAGCACCAGCTCTCTGACAAGGCTTCCATCCTAGGTGCCCTAGCATCCCTGCACTGCTCTATCTCTAGGAGTCACCGTCTTCCGCCTCTTTTAAAAAGAGCCCCTTATTATTTTGTTCACAGTTCTCCCACAGTGTGTCAAGAGTGTGGGGTTGGGAGGCCCCGTTCATCTGTTCTCTAGGATTTGCACTCAGCAAAACTGGGGTGACTCCAACCCGCACGCAAGCCCGCAGCACCACCCCCTCCAGCACGCCCCCTCCAGCGCGCATGCTCCGAGATCAAGCCCCGCCTCCGGGGGCGGGGACTAGGCACGCCCTCTGGTCGGCGGGTCGCCGACTTCCGGGTGGTACGAGCGCGTCGGGGCGGAGGATCTATGTCGCAGAGTAGCGGCGGCGAGTGGGCGTGTTCGCTAAAGGGTCCGGCAGGAGGTCTGGGATTCGCGGCCCTTGAGAGCAGGCAGGAGGGCGCGGAGAGAGTCTGGGACGGTCGACGCTCGACGCTCGACGCCCTCTCCTGGGCATGTCGGCCGAGGCCTCCGACCCCGCGGCAGCCGCGGCCGCATCCCTGGAAGCCGCTAAGCCCTCGGGTCTGGAGCCTGGCGCCGCCGCCGCCTGCGGTTTGAAGCCCCTTACCCCAAACAGCAAGTATGTGAAGCTGAACGTGGGCGGCTCACTGCATTACACCACGCTCCGCACGCTCACGGGCCAGGACACCATGCTCAAAGCCATGTTCAGCGGACGCGTGGAGGTGCTCACCGATGCCGGAGGTACGCGCCGCCCTTGCACGCGCGTCCCTGCACCCTGTGGCCTCGGCTCTGCCTCCTGGCTTTCACAGGCGAGGCTCCTCCCGCCCCTACATCCCGTCTTCTCTCTCCTTTTACATTCACAATTTCCCTCCTCCAGTCCTTTACCGCCAGCGGTAACCAGCAGTTTTGGGACCCCTAACTCCTCGAGGCACTGTGGTGAGTGGTTCAACCTGTCACCTCACAATCCTCTTACAGATTCTCCCACCCTTCTGCCCTCAGGTCAAAAGACGTAGGAACCAATCCTGCTGCCGGAGCGCGCGCGCGCGCGCGCACACACACACACACACACACACACACACACACACACTCAGGACCCCTACAGCCAGCCTGGAGACCCGAGAGTGCTTGTCTGTCTCCATGTTCCCCTAACGCAGGTTCCTGTGCACTCTAGAAATCATCTGTAAATGTAGATTGTAGAAGGAGACTGCTTTGGGTTTGCCAGGAATACCAAAGTGGAGAGTGCACATGCAAATCCTTGGCAGGTGAACCCTGCCTTCTTGGAGTGTCACTGGATTTTGGGAACCATATGAGCTAGTTAAAAGTTTGCCTATCCATCTTCTCCCTTTGCACAGAGGTGGATGCAGATTCAGAAGGGGCTTACAAGTACTGTGAAGGCAGCAAAATAAAAACTTGGGAAATAAGATTTTAGCATTCAAATACAGGTGAAGAATTCATTTATTTAGTTAGTATTGTGAGACTTTTTGATAAAGAAATCTGACAAGATTAGCTTTACAGACTTTGCCTTTTTTAGGGAGATAGGGTAAGCAAGTGAATGAAATATATGTATATGACATTAAAAATGGTAGTGAACTGGAGGGTGAGCATAGGGAACTAAATCGGATGGTCAGAACTAACATCAGGGGTTAGAGATTTGTGCACTATATAACACTAGAACTTTTTCTTGGTGAGAGCCTTCTAACCAGAACAGATTTGAGAAGAAATCAGTTCTTTTGTAGTAGGGTATGTGTGAACACCTCTGGGAGAAACCATTGGAGATACAGTATTCCAGAGATTTCTTAGGTGTTACAAAAGTTTGAGACAGATCAGTTTTCAGACTCTCTCTGGAATTTTTTTCATAAAATTGAGTAACTGCAGGGCCCCTACCAAAACCGCCCTTTCTAGCTGAGCATGGTGACGCACATCTGTAATCCCAGCAATCAGGGGACTGAGATGAGAGGATTGCTACCAGTTCAAGGCCAGCGTGGGCTACATAGTGAATTCAAGGCCAGTTTGGACTACATAGTGAGACCCTGTCTCAGAAAAACCCAAAACAAAACAAAAAAAACCTCCACCTTTCTTTCTGTCTCTTCCCACTCCACCAGGTTGGGTGCTGATTGACCGCAGTGGCCGCCACTTTGGTACAATCCTCAACTACCTACGGGACGGATCTGTGCCGCTACCTGAGAGTACCAGAGAACTGGGAGAGCTACTAAGTGAAGCTCGCTACTACTTGGTGCAGGGCCTAATTGAAGACTGCCAACTGGCGTTGCAGGTGAGGGTCCTCCTTCAACTCCCAAGTCTCTGTACCATGTACCTGGGGGAACTGCCCAAAGGTTAGCTGTGGGACCAAAAAAGGATGTATGGCCTGGAGAGCCTGGCTCTGAATGGGCATAATGGACAGTGAATCCCTTCACTACCTCAGGCCAGAACTGCTGTGATGATTACATACTTGTTCCCTGCTTCTTGCTGTTCCTTCCCAGCCAGTCCAGCTGCTATACTGCCACCTGAGAAATCATCCTTAGCATGTTCCCACGAGCTTCAACCATTAGTGGTAAATACATGACTGTCCCATCAAACAGCTTGTACCACTGGTCTACAGTCTGTTTACTAATGAAATTAATAAAAAGCTGCTGATGGACAGTCCATGCTTGTATCACTGGTCGTTTATGTTGCTCAGAATTGAGACATATGAATTAATGACTCTATTGTGAACATGTTAAACACAGCCCAAATCTATTCTCTCCCTTGCTCCCAAATCCGAATAGCCCCTATGTCCTAGAGAGAAAAAAATCTAAATTTAACTTGGAATATAGTAACCTACATGATCTGATCGTACCTCAACCTATGGGCGGGCGAGCAGGCATGTTTGTTTCTTTTCTTTCAAATCTTTTCCTCAGATAAAATGTCATAAAAGCAAAGCCACTATCTATAAATAGGGTTAAAGGTTTCAGGCCCCGCTTGCACCTGAGGAGCTCTACTTCCGTGGATCCCCTCAGAGTTCTGAAAGCTCAGTCAGGACCCAGGGCTTTGGAGTCACCTCTATCACAGTCCATTGAGTGACCTTGCATTGAGTCAGTTCTGACCTCTGGCATTCTCTCCTTAGGTTTCAAAAGATTAATCAAGAAAAATAAGTACAATGTAATGGATTTTACATAAAGTCTTTTGTTCAGTTCAAGTTTTATAACATTAAAATATCTTTTATGACACAACAGTAATGAGATTGTAAAATTTTCGTTTTTAATGCTCTTTATAAATGGTGACTTTGAACAACTTTCTCTCATCTCAGGACGTACTTATTTTTCTTGAAATCCAAAGGTACAGCATTCCTTTTGACAGCATCCATTGCTTTTCATGCTTTCTGACTGTGGCTCATAGAGGAAAATGCATTTTTATACTCATGTGTATATAACTGAATTTTATGAAGATACTTTCAGTGCAGTGTACTTGAATAAATTGTTTCCTCCTTCCCTTCCCTTCTTTCCTCTTTGTTCCTCTCTATTACTGTTTGAAGCTCATTAAATTTGTTTCATGACCCACTAACAAGTTACTGCTTATAGCTGAAAAACGTTGAGCTAGATCTTGGGAATACATTCCTGCTGTATAATTTTAAATTGTGTGTCAGGAGTGATTGTGCTATCTGCTTGTGTGTACGTTTTGTACCTTTGATTGACATAAAACACCGAAGGAAAGTTGGACTATGCATTCAAGGTCAGTAAACCAGTAAGTGGCAGAGCACAGATTGAATACCAGGTTACCTGACTTCCCAGTGGAATGACTTTTCTTCATGCTGCAGTTGCCTTCATTCCAGGTTTCCAAAGACCCTGGCCAGCCCATCCCCATAGCTCAGCACACTCCAGTGTGTGGCACACAGTCGTCATTGACCTAGGCAAGTGTTTTCTCTCTTTATTTTTTCCTCTTCATTCCCAATCCCTTGCTCAGGGGCACCCCTTTCCTCAGGGGCACTCATTCAGTGCTAATGTTTGTACAATATACTGTACTTGAGTTAAATTTATACTCTTGAAAAGCAAAAGCATTCTTTTGCATATGTATGTATTTTAAATTTCCAGAAAGGGCATTGAGCTGGGGATCATATTGTTTCATTTTTTTTCTATACTTCTTTAGAGACCTATTCATGCTATTGCATGTACATCTCATTCATTGCTTCTAAGAGCTACATAGGAATCTCTGGTTTTTGCTTACTATATTTTATTCATACATGAGGTTGGAGACCTAGCTTGCTTCTTCCCCTGAAAAACTTGTGTACAGCACCTTACGGCCCTAGCAGGTTTCTCGTGGTAGCTGAGAGCATTGCCATTTATGTATGCAAACCAAATAGTGGTACTGATGACCAGCAGAGAAGAAGAGATCCCAAATGTGCATATTCTCAGTAACACGTGGCATCCTTCATCTTTCTAATTTTGGCAATCTGATGAGTGTAGAGTGATCTTATTTTACTTTCTATGCTTTTGATTACTAACGAGGTTGAGTTTTTTTGTTTTTTGGGCTTTTTTTTTCATCTTTATAGTCTCTAGCTTTTTTGGTGTCTCCTTAATTTGCTTATTCACTTTTTTTTTTTTAACCAAAATTTCTGCTGGATTTTCTTCCTGCTGCTTAGTAGGAGATACTTGCATATTTGAATCTAATTTTTGAATTAAGCCTTATTATATAATGTAACGTATTTTACATACTCTAAGGCATGTGGGGTTCTTTGTTGTAGTCTTTTGGTTTCCTTTTAAAACCAAAACATTTATTGTGACTAATGGTCAAAATTTTCGAGATGAACTGTGTGCTGTAGCAGCCACTGTTTTGAATTTAGATGTTGTTCCTTCACAGAATCTGCAATACACACTTTTCAGGTGCCTTGTTTGCCCAGTCCCTGTGGAATTTCATCTTGTAGCCTTGGCATACCAGTTTTACTTTCTTCTGTTCTTGGAAGGATAGACACATTTGCCACAGGTGGACTTCTGAAGGTGTTTGGCCTTAGGATCCACAAAGGCAGCACGACCTGTGCATCTTATGATGAGACTTTCTAAATGATGCTGTTCCCTTTGACATGTCACTTCTGCTTCAGAGGACAGAGAACCTCAGGCAGTGACAGGAACCTTTCAGAGCTTTCAGTGATAAAACCACCCACCTCAGTAGGTTCACCACTGCTGCCCTAAGGCGTATGTTGTACGTAATAAATTAGCCTTTCTTTTAAGCATCTACAGTGATACTCTACCTGACATGATTGGGAGAATTCAAAAAGTACTGAAATTATTAGTTTTAAGACTCAGATGAGGAATCTTAGTTGACAAAGTCTGTTCTAGATAGTAATTTATAGTCAATTTTAGATATTGCCAGTATTTTCTTTTAGAATGTTACCTGTCTGTGATATCTGATATTAAATAGAAATCTTTGGTTTTAAAACAAAATTACAATTAATCACTTATTATTTTTAAAGCAGTATTTATCAATTGTGGAAATTTAAGAAACATAGATAAATAAATTTTTAAAAAATAATAAATATAAGCACCAAATATTTTTTCTTTGTGTATATCTGTGAGTGTGTGTCTGTCTCTGCTAGAACCAAGTTGTATGTACTGTTTTGTAAGCTACTTTTTTAGTCATTGTTAATAATTGCCATCTTTCCAAATCAATAAAGTTTTTATCTAACACCAAGGGCATACTCCAGTTTCTCTAGTTACTCCAGAAATGTCTTGTTTTGTTTTTTGTTTTTTGAGACAGGGTCTCACTATGCAGTCCAGACTGGCCTTAAACTCACTGTGTTGTAGCCCAGGCTGGCCTGGAACTTGTGATGATCCTTCTGCTTCAGATTCCTGGGTGATGGGATTACAGGCATGCACCACTGCACCCAGCTTCTTCAAAAACTCCTATAAAATGGGGTATAGAATCTGCCATCAGCTGGGGATTTAGCTCAGCGGCATAAGCACCTGCCTGGCAAGCATGAGGTCATGAGTTCAATCACCCGTACCAAAAAAAAAAAAAAAAAAAAAAAAATCTGCCATGATAAAAGTCCTAAAATACGAAAGTAGCTTTAGATCTTAAAAGTGGGCAGAAGTTGGGAGGATTCTGAGCAGAATGTTAAGCCTTCTTTGGGGAAGCAACAGTAAGAGCTTAAAGAATAGTTAGGAAAATGTTACCAAAAACTGATGAAAAGCAGATCTTGGTTATATGCAAAATAGCAACATTGTCTCTTGCAGGAATGTATAGTTGGGAAGTATAGCTAGTGAACTTAGGTGATCTAGCAAAGGAGATTCCCAGAGAGAAGTTAAAGGTCCCTGAAGGAGAAAAACAATTGAACCAAGTGCCAGAAACTGTTTTGAAAATTTCCAGCCTCAGAGCCAGGCATGGTGGTGCACACCTGTAACTCCAGAACTTGGGAAGCTGAAGCAGAAATATTGCTGTCAGTTCAAGGCTAGCCTGGGCTACCAAGTGAGTTCAAGGCTGGACTGCATAGTGTGAAACCCTGTCTCAAAAAGAAAAAATAAAATCCAGTCTTTCCAAATATGTAGATAATAAATATGTTACAATTAACAATCTTAGACTTCCAGAAAGGGATCAAATATAGAGCATTTTCTAGAAAACATGGTCTGAAGATGAATCGGAGAATGTGGTTATAATTTGTGATCCCAGCACTGACGCAGGAGAATTGTCATGAGTTCAAGACCAGCTTGAATTGCATAGTGAGACCTTGTCTCAAAACAAACAAGCAAGAAAGAAGTCCTTTGTGAAGACCTCAGAAATATCCAAGAAGATATCTCAGGATCATTTGATCAAATTATTCTGAGCCAGCTGCTGGTTCTGAGAAGCTTAATGATATTCTTGGCAGTCTGAGCACAGCCCAAAGTAGAGAAGTGCTTACCTTACAGAGACTCATGTATGGCCTTTTCTTAGAACCTCAGAACTTACAAGATACTCAGAATTACAGTGGCAGAAATGCTACCATCTCAGACTGAAAGGAACAGACTCAGAGCGAAAGAAAAAGAGGCTTCAGGCCCTAGACTTCTGAAGACCAGGAGCTGGCTAAGGAAACTGGAACCACAGACATCTTTCATGGAAAAAGAGGATGCGGGGTGTAGGAGCCATGAGGAATCATTCCTGAACGAGGCAGGCATCAAAGAGTTCCTAACATCTACACAAGTGGATTACAGAGCCTCTAAGCCCAGTGCCTTCGGTGTCCCCTCTTTCTCCCTCCCCTTTCGAGCAAGAGTCCCTAGTGGTTGTCACGTTTCTACTGCTGCATATTGGCTGAGGGGAAGAGACGCTTGTCTTCTGTTTAAATGTCCTTTAGGAGTGATAAAGAACTGTGGCTGTTTTAGAAGGCAGCATTTTGGGTTGAATGTCATGGTGGACCTTTTAATTCCGGCATCTTAGGAGGCTAAGACAGGAGGATTGCACGTTCAACCTACCTTGGTTAACTTAGTGAGACCCTATCTCAAATATAAAAAGTACTGGGGATGTAGTTCATTGTGAAGGCCATGGGTATGCTCCCCAGTACTGCAAAAAAAGCAAAACAACACCCCTCCCCCCAGCATTCTTACTTTGAGCCACTACTGTAATGAGAGTACTTTTTGCCCATGAATCAACAGAGACCAGGAAGTGGACCATGGAGCCAGCCTCTAAGGCAACCTCCAGTGGTTCTTGTCCCCAAACATTCATTCCCTGTGTCACCTTCCACACTGAATAGGGCCGATGAAATGATGTTGTACAAGACCATGAGTCTTCCGCCTTGGTCTGTGTGGGATTATTTGAAGAAGCCAGCTGCCTTGTTCTACAGAGGTCCACATGGCAGGTATTAGCTAGTGTGAATTGGCCAGTTGTATGAGAAAGTTCCTCAGAAGTGATTCCCTCCTAGGCGGTCATGCTTTCAGAGGCCCAAAGCCTGCTAACCATGGCTGCGCAAGAAAACTCTCACCAGAATCACCTGGCTGAGCCACTTCAAAATGCCTGGCCCTTGGAAAATGAAACAATAAATTTTATGTTTTTAATTTAAGGCAGTAAATTGGGGGCGGTCTGTTGCATAGAGGTAGACAACTAGCTGGGATTTAGCTCGGTGGTATAAGTACCTGCTTGGCAAAGGCGAGATTGTGAGTTCGATCCCCAGCACCAAAAAAAAAAAAAAGAAGAAGAAGAAGAAGTAGACAACTATTTACACTCCTTGCTTTTTTCTCGCTCATTCATGGTATCTTTTTATAATTCCCCACATACATACCCTGGACTGTTTGTGAGTACTCTGTTGTATTCTATTGCATTTTTGTTTTGTTTCCACACTAGAACTAAAGTATATTCATTATTTTAGCTTTGTAGTATATCTTAAAATTTGATAGCATTACTGTCTCATTATGGTCCTTTTAAAAAATCAATCTAAGTAATTCGTCTACATTTACTTTAATATTTTTATTTTTTAATTTATTTTATTTGTTTGGGTTTTTTTGGATTTTTGAGACAGGCTCTTACTATATATCCCAGGTTGACCTATAACTCACAGCGATTCTCCTGTCTCCAGCCTCCCCGGTGCTGGGATTACAGGCATGTATTTTTTATTTTTTGAGATGAAGTCTTACCATGTTGCTCATGTTAGACTCAAACTTTTCTGGGCTTGTTGCTCTTCTTACTTCAGCCTTCCGAGTGGTTGGGACTACAGGCATATGCCACTGATCCCAGCTTCCCATGTTAACGTTAGATAAGCCATAAGAGTTTCTCAGAAAACCTCTGGAATTCATGTTAAATTGCACATCTAGTTTTCAAGATTAGGTGAGGTTAAAAGGGTTTTGGCATAAAAATTCTAGAAGACAGAGAAGAGGGCCCGTGTAGCTATGCATTGTGACAAACACCTATAATCCCACCTTGGGAGGCTGAGACAGGAAGATTTCAAGCTCAAGGGCAACATGGACTTCATAGAAATAACTTATCTCAAAAACAAAAACTGTTCAATTCTGATTCCTTCTCCAACTGCATCCTGCCCAATCAGGGTCACTTGTTCAGCAAATACTGAACACTCATTTATGTAGTAGGAATTTATTCTCCAGGTAGAAAGAGACCAGCCGTAAACAAATTACAGGAAGTTAGAAAATGTCAGGAACTAAGTTCTGTGAAGGAAATGAAGTAGTAACATGAAGTGGAAGGAGCAGAGGAGCTGCGTTAAGCAGGGCCCTGAGGAGGCAGGGCCAGTGTTTTGAGGAGGCTGCGCCGAGTGCTGGGTGGTGCATTGGAGCCAGCTGTGGAGACAGCTGAGTCAGGAGCAGCCCAGACTTGAATGCAGCCCGGGGTCAGGGTGGGCCCAGCTTTAGATGGAAGGAACAAGGCAGGCGGGAAAGCCAAAGCCCCCAACCAACAAGGGAGATAGTGGAGCTGCGATCAGAGAAGTCAGATCCTTCCAAAGCTATCGACCACCAAGGAGTCTGGTTTCTGTCCTCAAGGGCCACTAGCAGCTCCTAAAGGCCTTAAAGTGAGGGAGGGAGTGATCTCTGGTTGTGCTGTTAACTACTTTCTGTTTCTTCCCCAGCAAAAAAGGGAGAACCTGTCCCCTCTGTGCCTCATCCCCACGGTGACATCTCCCCGGGAGGAGCAGCAGCTCCTGGCCAGCACCTCCAAGGTGAGGCCCCTGAGCAGTTTGAGGTGGAGGCTGAGGGCCTCTTCCTGCGGCCTGACCCCCATCCTCTTCCCCTCTCCCCCAACAGCCCGTGGTGAAGCTCCTGCACAACCGCAGCAACAACAAGTACTCCTACACCAGGTGATGGCCGTGGGGGCCTGTGTGCGGGCACATCTGGCCTGTGCAGGGTGGACTTTTACCCTGCTGCTGGCCCAAAGAGGGCTTTGGCCATGTGGAGGGACCAGGAGTCCCTGATGCACATGGGAGCTCTGCTGCTTGCCTGCTGGGTACTTTGGGAAGGTCACCCTCCCCCCCAAACTGTTTTATCATCAGGAAGCAGGAATTTGGGCAAGAACTAAATAATGAGTAGAGCAAGTACAGTGGCACCTCAGTTCACTAACATTTGGTTTGCAAACAGAAGCACTTGGCAAAATTTTGTTTTTGTTGACAAACTGCATCAAGTGACAAACATGGCTGCGGCCATCTTTCCCACACAAACACAAATGCAGCCATATGTTTCAAACTCGTAGAACAAGTTAAGTTTGTGAACTACACAGTACACTAGTTGTTTTCAAACCACATCTAAGACTGCTCTCTGTTAACTTGCACAACTGTCCTGATGTTTGAGATAGGTGTTGTCACTTCCGTTTGCAGCAAAGATCAAGGTACCAAAGGGTGGGGTAACTTGCCACATGTCATTCAGTGCAAGAGCGGCAGAGCTGCAGGGGCAGGTGAGCAGCTGAGCTCAAGAGACTGCCCTGGAGCCACTGTGCTGTGCTGGGACCAGCAGATGCTGCTGACCTTTGGAGGCTGCATAGCCACACAGCTCCTTCAGGACAGAAGCAGGAGGGGATCGGAGGGAGGGAACCCAGTCATGCTGAAGCCACCTGGCCTCTGGTCCTCAGCACATCAGATGACAACCTACTTAAGAACATCGAGCTGTTTGACAAATTGGCCCTGCGCTTCCATGGGCGGCTGCTCTTCCTCAAGGATGTCCTGGGGGATGAGATCTGCTGCTGGTCTTTCTACGGGCAGGGCCGAAAGATCGCCGAGGTGTGCTGCACCTCCATTGTCTATGCCACGGAGAAGAAGCAGACCAAGGTCAGAGGGGTTCAGGGCTTGGCCAGGGAAGGGTGTGGGGTTGGCAGGACCAGGACCCTAGACAGGCAGCTAGGTAGGTTAGGGAGGGAGAGTCCTGCTGTGGGAGTCGGGCTAAAATTCCAGGGGCTTGGTCTGTAACTTGGGCAAGTGGTCTCTATTTCTTGATCCCTGCAAAACAAGGAATTGGGCTATGTTTTGCTTTTATGCTGCAGATTAGATCCAGGCCCTTATATAGAGTCTTTTTCCTTTTTTTATTCTTTTAATTTTGTGGTGCTGGGAATTGATCAAAGATGCTATCTGCCACTGAGTTGCATCCTCAACCTGATCAGATTCATGTGCATCTTTCTATATAGAAGCTCTGCGGTGGTCTTTAGGATCTTAAGCCACTGAGAATACACCCAGATTGCAGATCATGAGTTGTGAGCATGACAGTCACCTGCAGATATTTCTTGAGCACCTGCCCTGCACTGAGCATAACTTGGGCATCAAAGTGCTAAGTAAAGTACCCTTTCTTCTCCATCCCTCCCAGGCCCAGTAAGAAGAGCACACTTCAGGTGTGCCATAGTCCCTGCCAGTTTCCTCAGCACCTACAGGTCTCTCACACTTACTCATGCACATTCTGTTCCCTCTTCTTGGAATTCTTTTTTCCCCTTCATACCCATCTGCCCGATGAGCTTTTATAGTTTTGTTTTGATTTTGGGACAGAGTCTCACTATGCAATTCAGGCTGTGCTAGAACTCACCTGTGTACCCCAGGTACACTCCTGCCTCAGCTTCACAAGTGCCACATTTTCAGGTGTTTACCATCACACCCAGATCCATACTTACTATTTACAACTCAAACTAAACATCGTTTTCCCCCTGGGACAGCTTTGCTCGTGACTTCAACCTAAACACTCCACAGACTAAGCTAGTGATGCTCCCTTCTTAGTTAGAAATAGTGTTTGTTGTAGTCTGTGCTTTATGGGAGCAGTGATTTCTTCACCAGCAGGACACTGCTATACCTTTTTCTTTCTATCTCCCTAATACTTGCCTAGCCCTTGTCTAATCAAGAAACATGCTTAGAATGTGCAGGTGGATGGATGAATGACTTAGCTTCCAGGAGGTTGCTTCTGCAGTTGGGGAGATAAGACAAACCAATAATTAAAATACAGCTTAAGAGCTGTGCTTATCATGACCTTCCAGGACTGCTCCGTGGGATTCCCCGATCACTTCCTCCATTTCATTCCTTTTTGTTCTTCATCACTGTCAGTGGCCTTGGCCTCCCTGCTGATCATAGATCTGTACACTAGGCACATTCCTGACTTGAGAGCTTTAACCTTATTGTTGCTGCTCCCCAGTCTGATTTCTCTAGCTGTCCACCTGTTTCACTTCCTCCCAACTTTGGTCAAATACTGCCTTCCTACTGAGGCCTTCTCTAAATTAACTCCCTGTTGAAAAATGTGACACTCCTGGGCATGGCCATTCTCCCCCATCCCCTGACCTATTCTGTGCAGCATTTGTCATCACCTGACTGTGTGTATACTTCGTTAAGCATGTGTCTGATTCCTCCCCTAGGATGTAAAGTTGCTGAGTACAAGCACTTCAGTCAGTTCTGTTCCCTGATTTTTTCCCAATTCCTAGAGCAAGGTGTGGCATAGTCACTCAGTATTTGTCAAGTGAAAGAACAGACCAAGAGACTTGGCAGTGAAGGATAGAAAATAATTATTCTGCCTGTCTGAATTCAGTGCAGGGCCTTGAAGCAGGACTTTGCCAAGTAAAGAAGTTGCAGAAGAGCTAGTCAAGGCCTAAGAATTGGAACACAGAGGCTGGGAGATGTGTGATGCAGGAGGTGCAGGAAGAGTTGTGACACAACTAGAGGGTAGGAACTGGTGATTGCTGGCCTTTTGCAGGTGGAATTTCCAGAGGCCCGGATCTTCGAAGAGACCCTGAATATCCTGATCTATGAGACTCCCCGGGGCCCAGACCCAGCGCTCCTGGAGGCCACAGGGGGTGCAGCTGGAGGTGGTGGGGCAGGCCGAGGGGAAGATGAAGAGAACAGAGAGCACCGTGTTCGCAGGATCCACGTCCGGCGCCACATCACCCATGACGAGCGTCCTCATGGCCAACAGATTGTCTTCAAGGACTGACTTTGACCCTTCTCCTGCCTCCTGCCTCTGGGACCCACTCCCTCCCTCTTTTCTGCCTTCCCCAGATCTTTGCCCCGGCTCTGCTGGCCAAGTCGTGGGTCTTTATTCTTTCTCCTCATCGGATGGTACAGTTCACCTTGGCCCTTTCTATTCATTTCTACTCATTGCTAACATGGCCGATTCCACTCCCTTTCTGCAGGCAGAGCCCTTCAGAAGGTCAACATTCATTCCCTTCTCACCATTCCTGTCCCGCAGGCTTCCCTTCACTAGCTGGTTAGAATGATTTAGAGTTCCCTTTCTGTCATTTTAGTTCATTGTACACACAAATGTTGAGCCAGCCCTTAGTAACATGAGCCACATTCTGAGCCGCCTCCAACCAGTGCTGTCCTCCTGCCTGCGCTCTCCTCCCTGCTTCCTTAAGTTTGTCCTGGGCTGGCCGAGGCCTGTACCAGCTCAGCTATCTTCTCAATCTGTTTCATATTATTTATTGTTTTAATTTTCTATTAAATTATTGGAATAAAGTCCAATTGAGGATCTGCTGCTGGCTCCTGGGAGGAAACAGGAACATGGCTAGTTTTATGACAGAAGATACGAGCCCTTGTCCCAAGCCCTTCTTGGGGCTGGTAGCTGGGAAGGAAGTACTCAGGAGTTAGGAGAGAATTCAGAGTTTATATTTCAGTGCACCCTGGCCAGTTCCCACCCTCAGCCCTCTTCCCCCTGCCATGGGAAGTAGGTCCCCCGGTACAGCATCTCTCTCTGGCCCAGGTGTCTGCAGGAAACACCTTCCTTCAAGGGTCTGGTGCGAAGACAAAGTCGAGGGCCTGGCGCTCAGCCCCAGCCACGTTGGGATGCCAAAGGTCCACAATGAAGACCACTCGAGGCCCATCATCTGGGGAGCCTAGGGCACATAGGGATGGAAACAGAACAGCTAGAATTTAAATATTTTTCTGCCAAATCATTCACCAGACACTGAGGAAAACAAAAACTGAGTGTCAGTCCTCTGTCATCAAAACAAACTATGAGGTAGTGCCATGGTTTTCCTCGTTTTATACAAAGTCACTGAGGCATACAAGGTTTAAGTAACTTGCCCAATGTCCCCCAGCTCCTAAGCAAGAGGTAGGACCGCAGTCCAGATGACCCAGACCCAGTGTCGTGTGCTAGTACACACTATATGCACTGATATGAACTTAGTTTATCTTGTAGTCAATAAATACAGTGGTTACTCCAAGGGTAATAGGGGTTTATGTGACTTGTTCAAAGTCATGCAGCTGGAAAATAATGGTGCTGGAACAGGAAGTCAAGTGGACCTGATTCTGTGGGCCTTCAATCTGCATGTTTTGGCCCTACAACCCCCAATCCCAGCCCCACGGATGCTCTTACCATTGTGAGCCACTGTGTGCAGGAAGGAGTCGTCCACTAGGAGGCAGTGGCCCTCGGCCCAGCACTGAGGCTCACCCCCAACAACCAGCTCACAGCCAGGCGGGATCTTCAGGCCTGTGTGGGAAGAGACCAGGCGTGCAACACCCTGCCTCTGTCCAAGGAACCTACCCTGTTTAGCCAGCAGATCTAAGGGCCTTAAAGATTGGGCTCTCTGGTTGTCTCTTGGTCTCTGGAAGGGGATAGTTCACTCAGTAGAGCATTGGATGAGGACAGGTCTAGTGGGAAGCACAATCCATCATTCTGAGAGAAAAGAAAAGGCTTTCTGGAGCAAATTGCATGTCCTGTTGGGCTTCCTTGCAGTGCACATCAAGAACCGACTTTACTCTGGGCACTATCTCCCCAAAAGTTACAACTGAGGACTCCGTTCTAGCCCAGGGACCACATGGAATGTGATAACACTGAGCAGCAACTCAAATGCTAGAGAAGAGGAAGGCATCTCATTAGAAGGTATGGCAATTGAAAATCCTCGCAGTGTTCAGGGGTGATTAGGAGGAAGTTATTCTAGGTTGAAAGGTCAAGTAGCAGCTGCTGGGATTAGCCAGTGCACCTTCAGGAGAGTACAGTGGGAAGGGGAGGAAAGATCTGGCCTTGATCCTGAGGCCAGTGTGCCCTGAAGTGCAAGACACATCCAACTGGCAGCACAGGTGATTTTGGTTGAGTAAAGATCATAATATAGAATAATAACAAAATTGATTTCTTTCCATCTTTAAAGACCAAAAAGGAATTCTCAATTTGATGCCACTGCACATCACCACCACACTAACATTGCTACCTTTCCAATGAGGAATAGGTATGCTGGAAAATATTTAAGTCTTTACGTGTGTGTGTGTGTGTGTGTGTGTGTGTGTGTGCGCGCGCGCGCTAGGAATTTAAGGACCTTGCACTTTCCAGGCAGGTACTTACACCACTGAGCTATATCCTAACCCTAACCCTTTTGTAGTACTGGGGACTGAACCAGGGTGTTCACAATGAGTTACACCCCCAGACCCTTTTTAACCCTTCATCTGTGAGTCAGTGTGTTGCTAAATTACTAGCAGTGTGTTGCTAAATTGGCTAGACTTAAACTTGCAGTGGTACTGCATCAGCCTCCCAGAGTATTGGGATTACAGATGTGGGCCACCACACCCAATTTAATTATAGCTCCATTTTTTAAATTTTAAATTTGATTTTATGGGTACTTTCTAATTAGAGCAAGAAATACTGATATCATTTGTATTCTATAAAAATTCCTTTTCAGTAAACAAACTCAAAGGAGAATCAATGTGATATAACAGCATGGAAGGTCAGTGACTGTGACATAATTTATGATGATAGTTTCCCCATAGTGAGGCTCAGGAAGTATTGCTGAGGGCAACAGGGAGTCGCAGATATCCAAGGAAGAAGAAAGGCATGATGAGAACAATACTGTGGAAAAATCTGATGGCAAAGAAGAGGGTCTAGACGGGAGCTGTGGAAGCAAAGAGGTTGTAGGTGGGATCTACTCACCCAGATGGCATCTCACTCGAGCATTGGTGGGCCCACAGCGGCTCTCTAGCCGGGCCCCAGGCAGGAGGACAGAAAAGCCAGCGTTGCCGAAGGTGTTGGCACTCATGAAGCTCCGCAGCCCCCTCAGTGCCCGGTAGGCTCCTGGGCACCGGCGGCAGTTGTTGGGTTGGCACCGGCCCGCTTGGTACAGCAGGAGCTGGTAGCACCCAGGAGCCAGGGGTGGGGACCAGCCCCGAGGCAGAGGGGTTGTCCCTGAGAAGTCCCAGCTCACAGCCCCAAAGTCCCGCAAAATGGCAGGGAAACTGCTTTCTAGGAGCTCCACATCATGCCGCTGGGCATCCCGTGGCACAAAGGGGACCGAAGGCAGGTCTGGTAGGAAAAGCAGACCTGGGCGCTGAATGCCCAGGGGCCCTGGCCCTCCCCCAGGGCCTGGGCCACCTTGAGCTGCCCTCCTCACCCTGCCCATCCCAGCCCAGGAGTAGCGCCTGGCATAGGCTCGAAGCCGACGACTCACTAGGCCCTCTGTCCTGGATCCTTCTCCAGGCTCCTCTACTCGCCCCAGACCTGGCCTATGGGCCTCAGGGCATCTCCCAGGCCTACCATTGATGCCTCCAGCCTGGCTCCCTGTCCCCAGGACCTGCATGTCTTGGGAACCGAGGCGGTAACAGTACCAGAGAAACAGAGAAGTGAGAGCCCCAAGGAGCAAGGTCATTGCTGAGGAGGCCAGGGGCAGTGGCCATGGGAGCACGATAGGCAGGGAGGCCCTGGCCAATAGTCCTGGGGCATCTTCTGGACCCCAGTTCCCTTGTCCTCCCAGCTCTCCACCTAGCCCCTCTATGGGTAGCTCCTGATTGCCCCCTGGGCTTTCTCCCTTCCACATTTCCACTCTTGGTTCCTTTTCTCCTGAGGTCTCTCCACTTTGTATTCTCCCCCGCTTCTTTGGGTACCTCGAACTGTCCTTTCCTTCCAGCTCTCTCCTTTCTCTACCTCTTCTTTCTCTGGGCACCTGTCTCCCCTGCCTCCGTCACTCTCCCTCTCCAGGCCGGCTCTCCCTGCCTTCCTCTAGTGTCTTCTCTTCCTCTCTCCCCTTCTCCTCCCCGCGGCGTCTCTGTCTCCTCTCCCTCTGCCTCTCCTCTGTTCACCTCCTCGACCTCCCACTCTCCTCTTCTCCTCCCTCCTTTTGCTAGCTGTCTCTCCTCCCTTTTCTTTTGGCTTCCGCAGGCAGCAATCCCTACCCCACCTGAACCCGCAGCCCCAGGACCCCAAGCCTGTCTTCCTCCGTGGCGGTTCTCTCTCCTTCCTCCCTCCTCTCTCCTGCCCTCGCTCTTCACTCGACCGACCCTCCGGCTCTCTCTCTCTCTCCCCCCAACTCCGCTCCTTCCTTCGCTCCCACTCACCCTGACGTCACTCCTCCCGCAGCCCTCTCTGCTTAGCCACCCCCGACCCCTCCCAGTGACCGCCACAACTCAGCCCTGGGGGAGGGGGAGTCATCTCTGGATTTGCCTCCCCGCCCCTTCAGCCCAGGCCGGGCGCCACGTGGGGTGTAGGGGGCACGGTGCCAACCCCCAGCCGCCCTGCAATGCGAAAAGCAGGGCGGGGCCTAGGAAGGGGCGGGGACATCGGGGGCGGGGCGAGAGCGAGGATTTGACAGACAGCACCGGAGCTCCGGGACTGCAAGCGGGCAGGTTGGCAATCGCCCCGCCGTTCAGTGGGTCCGCAGGTCCCCTTTGCTTGCGATTCCACCTCCCTTTGGGCTTTCGCGGGAGCCAGCCCTCCAGTTCGGGCCAGATGCAGTGACAGCGGCTTTGGCCAATCGCGGGCGGCGCCGGGAGACTCGAAGGGGCGGGGCCGGGAGCTGTCCGCACCCGGCGGTGCTGAAAAAGGGAGCTCCCGAGAAAATCTGAGCCGAAGCAGCGGACTGCTGGCTGGGGCATGTTGCCTTTAGGAACAGTGCTCTCTAGGGCTGGGGATTTACCTCAGTGGCATTAGTGCTTGCCTGGCAAGCAGGGGTTGTGAGTTTGATCCCTGGTACAAAAAAAGAACAGTGGTCTCTTCTCCCCAGCCCTGGCCTGTCACCTCTTAAACGCTTCAGAAACTCGCCATTCTCCTGGAGAAGGGAAAGCCTATTCCACTCTTAAGCTTCTATAAAAGGCAAAGTCTCACAGGGATCCGGATATGGACCGAGGGCATTTTGGGGGACCAAGCGGTACAACACCTTGGTGCCCTGGGAAAAGGAGACTCAGTTGCCAGATGTGCTGGAATGGCGGAGGCGGGGTGCTAATGACTGCTGGGACCAGAGGCTTTCCTTTGCCTCCCCTAGGGGCTGCGGGAGAGAGTATTACGGTTCCAGCTCTCCATCCCTCCTTCCTCCATCTGCACTTCCTCCTCCGCCCTCCTCCGCAAATAAATCCTAGGCCCCTCCCTTCGCCCATCCCCAGGATCTGACGTGGGCTCGACACCTTTTTCAGCTTCTCCCTCCCGCAGTTCTAGTGCCCGAGCTTCGGCTCTCTGGGTTCTTCAACCCTTTCCTTCCCCCGACAACACCGGCTAGAGCCCAGTAGGCAACCTCCCAATCCTCAACCCCACCCTAACCCCCACCCTGGAAGCTACCTTCCTGTTTCCAAGTCCCCTGGCTTGGGATCCAGCCAGTCCGGTGGACCCAGGCACCCAAACGAGAGGGTAACCTTCGGCCCTCTCAGCCCCACCCCCTGCAGCTAGAGCCGCGCCCCCCTCTACCACAGATCCCAGAGCGAAGGACAGAGATTGAGGCAAGGGGAGAGGATTCCAGGCAACCAACCCCTAGTCCAATTCTGCCCCTCCATCCTAAGAGGCAGAAAAATTGTCTTCTTTTACTGATTCGCTAACAGGAAAGCAAAATCAAGGGGAAAAATAAAAGGACACGGAGGAAAAGTGGCAACTAGATTATTTAGGAGAGGCACAGAGGAGAGAGATTGGGGTGAGTCGCCATGGGGACTCCCAAGGCCCAGCACCCGCCGCCTTCCCAGCTGCTGTTCCTAATTCTGCTGAGCTGTCCCTGGATTCAGGGTAAGGACATAAGGGTGTGGGGGTGGGCCTTCGAAGGCCCCGGGGAGGGGGTCAATCTACCTTCTTTCTCCAAACAACGTGGGTCTTCTGAGCTCATGGGGTAGGGAGGGCACAGCTGACCGCGAAGGGAAACATAAGAGCTCTTTGGTTATGCCCTGAACCCCTTAACCCGTAATGTTGAGGATGAGGGGAAAGGAATAAACGGGGCATTTAGCAGCACCTTAGGGGTTAAATCCATGAAGAAGGGCTGGGGAAGTTAGGGGGATATCTGCGGAGGCAGAGCAGCGTGCATGCTACCCGGGTGGGAGATGGAGGTGTTGGGAGAGACTCCAGGGACTGCACATATGAATGTTCTTGGACATATGGACAAAGACCGGATATTCAGTCCTTCACTTCTCTCTGACCCAAAGCCAGACTCTGGAGAAGGAGACAGATTGGAGGAGAAAGAAAGAAGAGGGAGAAAGAGAGAGAGAGAGAGAGAGAGAGAGAGAGAGAGAGAGAGAGAATAGCTACACTGCAGAGACAGGAACCCAGAGAGAGAAAGCTGGGCACTGCGGAAGCAAGGGCTGGGAAGTGCTGCCAGACACTTCTGGGGCCCTAGGGTTGTGAGCGAGCCCCACAGAGGATAAAAGGAGGGCTGCTCCCAAAGCCCCATTAACCCCCGCTGGCGCTGTCCAAGGTTCAAAAACCTAATAAATTCATAAAAGACCTACACAGCCTTGGATAGTGGTAGCAGAGAGGAACGTACAGGAGTGTTTAGGAGAGCTGGCAGCCTCTTCTCTGATCTTGCTTTCAGCTCAATCTAGGATGCTCTTAGCTGTTGTAGGCCCAGCTGATGTAGAGGGAAGATCTCTGGAAAGGATCTCTCTGGAGGAAGGAATGTGGGGAGTTGAGATGCTCACTGAATTTCACCTCCTAGGTCTGCCCCTGAAGGACGAGGAGACATTGCCAGAACCTGAAAGTGAGACCCCCACAGTGGCCTCTGAGGCCCTGGCTGAGTTGCTTCATGGGGCTCTGCTGAGGAAGGGCCCAGAGATAGGCTACTTGCCAGGTAAGGCCCCCCAGGCGGTGGGAGCAGCATAGACCTGTTGAGAGAGGAGATGGGGAGCCAGGCCAGGACAGAAAAGCAGAGAGAAATTGCAGAAGGAGCAAGACACTCTCCCCCCACCCAAACCCAGTGAAATTCAAAGGGAATGACTAAAGAGTCAAAATTGGGTATGGACAGAAACAGAAGTACAGACAGAATGATTAAGAAGAGACAGCCAAAGAAAAGATAAAGATGGGTGGGAATTTAGAGAACTAGAGTCTGAGAAATGGTGGGGGACAGAGAGACAGAGAGAGTAAAATATAGAAACTAGCAGGTTTCACTAGATCTAGAATCATAAAATCAGAGAACAGAGTATAATAGTAAACAGAGAAATAAAGAGCTCCAAAGAGAGCAAGACAGAGAGCAGAGAGGAAGGTACCACGGACAGCCAAATTTAGAGTGAAGTAGGGACAGGCTCCAGGGACACTGTCAGGGTGAAGGGGCCTGGGGAGAGAAACCTGAGAGAAGGGTCAGTGAAGGGGGCCAGGCTGCATCAACCTGGTAGTCCATGGAGAGTTTGGATGGCAAAGGGAAAGAGGGGGTCTTTTGCCTAGTAAGGAGGGTTCCGTGGAGGAATCCTCCATTTCCTTCCACCCGCTCCCCACCCTGCCAGCTAACTCTTTTTCATGACTTCTCTTGCATTCACCCAGGATCTGATCCAGACTCCACACTAGCCACTCCTCCAGCCAGCCAGACTCTCGCAGCACCCTCCCTGCCACGGGCCACTGAACCAGGGACAGGGCCTCTGACCACAGCTGTAACCCCTAAAGGGGTCAGGGGGGCAGGACCTACAGCGCCAGAGCTGCTGACCCCGCCCCCGGGCACCACGGCCACGCCCCCTCCTGGCCCTGCCTCCCCAGTCCCGCCCCTTGGTCCAGAGGGAGGAGAGGAGGAGACCACTACCACCATCATCACTACGACCACGGTCACCACTACAGTCACTAGCCCAGGTGAGCCTATTGGGGGCGATGTCCAGAAGTAGCACAGATGTGAGAAGAGGAAGGTGCGGGAGATGGATGGGAAAGAGACTGCCTGGAATCTGAGGAAGAATCTCTAAGCACATATGGGAAAACATCTTTGACTTAGCATTTCTATACCCTTCCTGTATGCCAGGCCCTGATCCATGTGTTCTGTTGTTATTGCAATTGGGGGAGGAAGTTCTCAGTCCAGAGTGGAGAGGGTGCATTGGATAAAGATGGTGAGGGTCTTGGGGAGAAGATGAGGACCTCTGGGACTGCTTGGCTTGGAGGGCAAGAGCACAGGGCCTCTCTCAATCCCAGCTGCTTGATTCTCTCTAGTTCTGTGTAATAACAACATCTCTGAGGGCGAAGGGTTTGTGGAGTCTCCAGATTTGAGCAGCCCCACCAGTCGCACATTGGGGCTCCTGGACTGCACCTACAGCATCCATGTCTACCCTGGCTATGGCATTGAGATCCAGGTAACTAGACCTAAGTGTAAGACTGGGTGATTTTTCCAACCCTTTCTTCTGGGCCCATTCAGTGTGCACAGGTTTGGCCTGGGAACCAGAGAGCTTGTTTTCTAACTCACATGGACTTGTTTTTTGACTCAGGTGATCTTGAAAACTCTACTAGGGTTCCACAACATGGGGCAATGTCCCTGTGTTTTTGAGGGCTGCAAAAGAGGGGAAAAAGGAAAGCAGAGGGCAGAGGCCTTGGGGAATCATGTTTCCCCCAACTGACTTGCTCTGGCCTTTGTCTGGCTCCTTCAGGTACAGACACTGAACCTGTCTCAGGAGGAAGAGCTCCTTGTGCTGGCTGGTGGGGGATCCCCAGGCCTGGCCCCCCGACTTCTAGCAAACTCCTCCATGCTGGGAGAAGGACAGGTCCTTCGAAGCCCAACCAACAGGCTGCTTCTGCACTTCCAGAGCCCACGGCCCCCAAGGGGAGGTGGCTTCAGGATCCACTATCAGGGTGAGGAGTCTAAGGGTGTGGGAAGGACAGGGGCCACACTGGGCATTAGGGATGTTTCTGGAGACCTTTCAAGCACAGAGTACTTCCTCCTTAATGGTATCTTGCGGAGCAGAACCCTCAGAAGAGACAAATCCACACACTCAGAAGTGGGCACATATCAAAGTGCCATAGCATCCATTCAACTCAACAAATTTTGAGTACTTTATACCAAATTTTATGTTGGCCTTGAGAGAGGAATCAATGATTCAAGTGTTAATCTGACTTCAAGGAACTCAGAATCTGGGTATAGACAGACAAGGACTTAGGGTGGTTATAGTTTATTGAAATAAGAGCAAAATGGAGGCACCACAGGCAAGAGAAATAAATATAAAGAGGGTCCTGAATTTTTTCTAAAGACTATGGGAATACCTTCTTGAAGGAGGTGATGACAAAGCTGAGACCCAACAAATGAGTTAGTCAGCCAAGGGAAGGGTGATAGGAAGGAAAAAAGGGAGGCAGTTGTCCAGCATGGAATGAATATCCCAAGTCCCAGAGAGAAAAGAAAACGTCAGGCCTAGAGAGGAGTAATTTAATATGAACATAGAATTGTCCTCATTGTGTGACTTGGGACAATCTTTATGAGCCTCATGATCTCATTTGAAAAATTGGGCTGGGTGTGGTGGCACATACCTGTAATCCCAGTACTTGGGAGGCTGAGGCTGGAGGAGCTCTGTGAGTTTGAGGCCAGCCTGGTCGTTTAGTGACTTAATGAGGATCCCACCAAAACAGAAAATAAAATGATTGGAGATGTAGCTCAGTGTGAAGGTCCTAGGTTTAATCCCTAGTAGTTAATCATAATCATAATACTTACTGCATGGTATTATTAGGAAAAGCACATATAAATTAACACATGTAAAGTGCTTAAAGCAGTGTCTACTACACAGTAAGAGCTCAGAAATTACTGCTATTAGAGTCAAAGTACAGAAAGTGATCGGGACCCAGATGGGAGACAGGTAGATCATAAAGACCTTATCAGTTTCAGATTATTTTAACCTCCATATGAGAGTGAGACATTTGACAGTCTCCTGTTTGTCACTTAGAAAGGTGCTTTTGACTTCTGGAGGTGAGGGAAGGAGGATATGATTGTATTCATGAGCATCTGCCCATAAACAACATCTGCCCTTGCTCGTGCTGCTACCTGTGTGTGTGTGTGTGGGGGGGCTCCCCACAGCGCAGTGTGTTCTAGTGCAAGTGTATACACAAAGCAAAGGACTTGGCCAGTGTCCCAATTCCAGACACTGCCATCTTCTCCCATGCCCCCTCCCAGCTCCTTGGAAACAGAGGGAGCTGTGTGTTGGGCAGTGTCCCCTTCACGTCACCTTTCAGCTTCACCGAGCTTCATGTACCCTGCTCACCTTGGGAACTTGGCACAGATGCCTGTGTGTCTTGTCCAGGACACAGCTCATACCCCATGTCCCTCCTGGCTTCTCCTGGACCTGTGCTCAGGGTCCTCCTGGGGGCTTGTTGTGCAATACAGTAGCACTGAAGAGCCCAGCACGCCAGGGGCATGTACGTTGGTGGAGGCCTGCTTGTGGAGGAACAAGAGCACGTCTTGAGGGCATAAGGCTGAGAACTGGACTTCAGATACTACAAAAATGGATTCCCACTGGCTCCTTCGAGCAGCCATTTCCCTTAGGCATTGAAAATAGGACTCGTAGGCTAAGTGGAACATTTGGGGAAGCCGGGTTATTGCAGCAATTGGCCTTCATTATCTGCCTCGGCTTTCCCTGCTTTGCAGCTCCTCCAGGCACCACTGGGACTGAAGCCCTGTTTCAGCCCTTCCCAACCTGCACACACTGGAGCCTCAGATCCAGTGTGACCTTATTAGTCTCACCAAAAAGCCGGGGCTCCGCCAGCCTTCACCCAAGTCTAGCAAACTTGCCCACATTCGGTCTTTTCCCCAGCCATTGTACTTCTCACAGGATGCACGGGCACTGTTAGCTCCATCCCTCAGAGGAAGAAAGAGACCCAAAGTTCATGTGGACTTCTCAGCCACCTGCAAATTATCATGGAGTGAGAAATCAAGCCCAAATCCCTGCCTCCATGCTTATGGGGCAACAAACATGTTCTGAGCACCTTCTGTGTGCTGAATGCTTCTAGTGCTTCTTTTATTTAATTTTCAGGTTAACCCTCATGGATAGGAATAATTGCCACTAATTATGGGATCTCAGTGGTGAAGTCACCTGCTCAGTCCTATAGCTAACAAGTATGGAGCTAGAACTAGAACTCAGGTCAGCCTGTCTCCGAATTGATCAGTCAGCCTAGGCTTTTCTAAAATAAGATAAACAAGTCTTTTTAAGTCTCACGGTGAACAGAGACAGTGGTTATTGTAATGGCAAAGTTGTGCATGTGAACATATACACATGGTGGTACCTGTTTACAGTCCCGGCATGCAGAAGGCTGAGGCAGGAGAATCACAAGTTCAAGGCCAGCCCAGGCAACTAAGCAACACCTTGTCTCAAAAACAAAAAAAAAAAAAAAAAAAAAAAAAAAGAGAGAGAAAAAAAATATATACTGGTAAAAGAACAACTAAGTGTTGGAAGTAGCAGGGTCAGGTAGACTTCCTGGAAGGGGTGGTACTTAAGTTACTCTTTGAAAGATGAGACAAGCTCCGAAGGGACCTTCTATACAGGGACCTAGATGTTAAAAAAGAAAAGTATTGAGGTACAGTAAGGAGCCACAAAATGGTTGCTTAGAATACACAGGTCTCAGATGTGGAACACTAAAGTGCTGGGCTGAACCTAATTGAAAGGAGTTAAAATGTCAGTTAGAAGAATTCAAGCTAGATGTCTTTGACCGTGGAGGGCCAATATAGGGGTTAACATTTACTGAAGCCACTGAGTTTTAGAAGTTGCTTTTATGCTGTTCTCTGTAGACTATAGACTCCTAAAGGGCAAGGCTTGGGTCTGTTCCCCCGTTCCCCATAGCTGAGCCAAGGAAATGTTTGTTGAATTTTGAAATATGGAACAAAGCAGGTCTCTTAGAGAATCCTGAGGATGCCATCTCTGCAGGATGGCAAATTATGAAGGCAATAAGCCCAGGGAAGCAGGGTCTCCGAAGCCCTCTGCTGGGGACAGCCTTCCCCTCATGGGAGTGTGTTTGGAGGTTCTAGCAGGGGAGCCCACTGTGTGTACCCCTGACCAAACCATGGTCCTCCTCCAGTGGGGAACATTGTTCTCTTCCGCCATGTGCGCTGCCTCAGAAGGGACACACGTGGAGTGCTTAGGCAGGAAAGGGACACCCATCCAGCTCCCACCCATCTGGAGCCAGCCAGATCAGCCGAAGTGACCCTAGTGATCAATAGGTTGGCACCGATCCAGGAAGCCCTTCTTGATGAGCTCTGCCAGGTTCTGCTGGGGTCAAGTTCAGAGACTGTCATTCATCAACAAGTGACCTTCCATTTGTTTTATCCCATCTACTTCTACAAGAATTTCAGGAGGCTTTCAGAAAGAATACAAGCAATACAACTATATGGACTATGTAAGGAAAAAGTGTTGAGTTTTAAAAAATGGAGTTCCAGGGATGCAGCAAGGAGACAGTGCCTGCCTGGCAGGTTGAGGTCCTGAGTTTGATTCCCAGTACCAATAGACAAATAAATAAAAAATAATTAAAAATGGAATGGCCAGGCTATTGTTGCTAGGGACAAATTTTAATCTGATTCTGAGCTACCTGGCAGCCAGTGCAAAAAAGGGAGGTCATACAGTTCTTGCTGCAACATAGAAGACAAATCAGTTTCTCAAAGAATTCCTGTGTACTTCATTTTTACTAGGGGATTCATTTGGGGGAGACTGAATGTTAATGTTTTTAATGGCAAAATGGTTTCTAGTGAAGTTTTATGTGACTTGTATGACTGAAAGTAGTATCTTCCGTGAAAGTGTGAGAAAATGCCATGAGGCACTGAGTAGTGTGGGACCTCAGTTTCCAAACCTGGAAAGTAGGTTAGAGTCTTTCTCTGCCTTCCTCACATGCACTGTGCACACTCACTTGGGAAGCTGAAAACACTCTTCATATACTGTTGGTTATTATTAGGGGAGTCAACTGATTTGCCTGAGGTCACATTACCAAGAAGTACCAGGGTCCAGAGTAATTTTCTCTTCACAAGACAGTGAGCCTGTTGTGCAAGGAGCTTGTGTGGGGTCCCACAGGGGCCCGGAGGGAGGGGTTGATGTGGGAGATGGCATGGGACAGTGAGTCTTCCCTTTGCCTGCTCTGCCTGGTCCAGCCTACCTCCTGAGCTGTGGCTTCCCTACCCGGCCGGCCCATGGGGATGCAAGTGTGACAGATCTGCACCCTGGGGGCACTGCCACCTTCCACTGTGACTCAGGCTACCAGCTTCAGGGTGAGGAGACGCTCATCTGCCTCAATGGTACCCGGCCAGCCTGGAGTGGTGAACCCCCAAGCTGCATGGGTGAGTCCCATCATGGGTGTGGGTTTCTGTTCTAGGACCCTCCCTGGGGAGTCCTATCACGGGGTCTCCATCTCCATGTGGAGAGGTTTCTGAAGAGTCTCTATCCTCAGGTCCTTGTGGAGCGCTCCACCAAAGGTCTTTAACCACGGGGAGCATCCATCCTTGGTGGCCTCCATCTTGTACATCCCACCTACTGGTTTCTGTCCTCATCTTAGAGGAAACCACTTTTAGGGTTCATATCTAGGAGTCTTTGTCTTGCAGATTCCCCATCCTGAGTATCTTCACTCTGGGGGTTCCCACCATGAAGCTTTCCCATCAGAGGACAACTCCCTGTCAGAGGATGTCCACATCTGGGGGGAGTCTTCATTTTAGCAGAACCTTCTGCTTTGGAAGGCCCCATCCCCAGGGCGAGCCCTGAACCAGTCCAGCCTGAAGACATGGCTGTACCTCCAGCCAGTTTAACCTGCTCTCCCCTGCCCGCAGCATCCTGTGGCGGCACCATCCACAATGCTACGCTAGGCCGCATCGTGTCCCCTGAGCCTGGGGGAGCAGCGGGACCCAATCTTACCTGCCGTTGGGTCATTGAAGCAGCTGAGGGACGCCGGCTACACCTGCACTTTGAGAGGGTCTCACTGGATGAGGACAATGACCGGTGAGAGTCTGGGCCTCAGGTCAGATGTCCTCACCTAGCGACAGTAGGGAGACTGCCATGGGGAGTCAGATCTGAGAGGGATCTCTGTCCAGATATGTGTCTGACTTAGTTCTGTTTTTTAAGGAATACACCTGCACGATCTTCCTTACATCATTTAAGCTCACTGCTCATTTCTCCCATTTGTAGAGATAGCAGTACCTCTCTAAATGCCTAATTAATGCATTAAAATATGTAAAATACTTGAAATAGTGCCCAGACATAATATGCACTACAAAAGTGTTCACTGTCATCATCATCATCACTTTTGCTTAACCTGGTATTCCAGCTCTGCCTCTGCTTACTATGTGATCTTAGGATACTTAATCTATTTGTACCTTGTTGTCTTCATCTATAAAATGAGGGTTAATAATGGTGTCTGACTAAAGAGCACTTGTGAAAATCAAACCAGATAAAATGTGGAATGGCTTAGAAGAATGCATGGCATATGGTAACATTTACTGGTAACAGCTATAAAGATAGGCAAGGAAATCAGCCAGAGGCACAGCAGCTTGGGAGAGGAAACAGCAGTCCTGTCACTCTTCTGTCCACTGCAGGCTGATGGTACGCTCAGGGGGCAGTCCCCTGTCCCCTGTGATCTATGACTCCGACATGGATGATGTCCCAGAGCGTGGTCTCATCAGCGATGCCCAGTCCCTCTACGTGGAGCTGCTGTCCGAGACACCTGCCAACCCCCTGCTGCTCAGCCTCCGATTTGAAGGTGATCTGTCCCAATTCCCCTCCAAGCCCCACTCAGGCCCCTCATCCTGATGCAGGGCACAGTCACAAGTGTATATTGTGCTTCTGCTCGTTTCCATGGTTGGCTCTCTTAAATCTGACTTCTTCACCCCAAAACCTCAAAGATCACCTCACTTGGACTCCTCATTTTTGTTGTTGTTTTGTTTTGTTTTGGTTTTGGTACCAGAGATCAAAGTCACGACCTTGTGCTTTCCAGGCAGGCGCTTATGCCGCTGAGCTAAATCCCCGGCCCTCCTTCTCATTTTGTGACTGCTATTTCTAAGTTTCATGTACAAGATATGATTGAAAAATATTGTGAATGTTTAAAACATTTTTAAAAGAATAGTAAACAACACATGGCTACTAATCCTCCTCAAAATACTCCCTCTCATGTCAAACGTACCTATCTCAATATTCTTGCCCCTTTCTGAAGCAGTTCTAGAAGTCTTCTGTGTGAGTATTTTCAGTTGTAATACCGTAGCTGCTCTCATGTCCTTCATCAGTTCAAAAGATTTTCCTCTCCTGATCATTTTGATTTGGCGGAAGAGTTAGAAGTCAGATGGTGCCATATCCGGTGAGTGAGGCAGACAAGAACACACCGTCATGGCTGTATGAACCTGCCTTTCTCCTGGATGGCGCTTGGCAAAAGTATTCATTGTATTTTTGGTCACACCTCATAAAGATGCAAATGAGGACTTCCAGAACTGCTTCAGCAAATGGCAAGAATGATGGGATAAGTGTGCTTGAATGTAAGAGGACTCTTTAGGAGGATCAATGGCAATGTCTTTTAATTTAAACATTTACCACATATTTTGATCCTCCCTTGTATGGTTCGATCCAGGTCCAAAGCTGGGGGACCAGGTATCTCAGTCCCGCAATTCTTTCCAGAGTGCTGGCTTCCTTCTCAGGCAAGCTCTCCATGTGGTAGGTCTAGCTGCACATTTACACAGAGCATCACAGTGACTCCATGGGAGAAAGGGGAAGTACACATGTTTCCTGAGCCCCTCAGGCAGAAAGGATCCTCTGACCTAGTTAAGGTCCTGTGCCTTTGCCTGAGCCCATCACTGTGCCAGGGGCAGGTGCTGTCATTGGCAGATCTGTCTGTATCTCACAGCCATTGCTGGTTGGCCCCAGCGAGGCTCAAGGGCTATCCATGGGGAAGGCCTGTTTTCCCAAAGGAAAATAAGGGTGCTCTCACTAGAACACGGGGGAATGGATATTGGGCAAATAGAAACAACCAGGTCAGTATTCATGAGAGAAGCATTAAGCATGGCCTTAAAGGATGGAGGGTAATTTAGAAGAGGAAGCCAGAAAGCCAGCTCTGGTGAAGGGCACAAGTGCGAACAAAGGTGAGAAGGTAGAGAGGTGCCTGGATGTTTGGGAAGCAGGCTTTCGTGTGGCTGGAGCAGAGGATTTGTATAAACAGTGGCTGGAGTGAGACAAAGAAAAGGAAGCAGTCAGAGAAGGGGGACTGGCTTCTCCTCTGATTGGTGTAAGAAATGGAATTGGCACTGGGCCCCAACTGACCCGGTACCTTGTCAGATTGGGAATAAAGTGTTACAGAGTGAAATGCACTGCCCTTTGGTAAGGTCCCCACCCTCACTTGTGATGCAGCCTCCACACACGTGGAGCACTGCTGCTCTGGGAGCCTCAGGCTTGTCCTCTGTATTACAGGCATGGAAGGCTCACCACACAGGCAGTTTTGCAGCTAGAATGCCATCAGGTGGACAGAAACTAAAATGCTCCACAAAGGTTCATTTTTGCTGAGTCCAAAGTAAAAGCTGAGCAACTTTTGCACTTCGCTGCAGTTTTGGATTCTAGCAACAGCATGAATTACCAGAATCCAGCTGTTACCTTTGAGGAGGGAACTCACCTGCAAAAGCCGGTTCTTGGGACACGACTGCTGCAGTCTCAAGAGCTGCATTCTGTGGCTGGCAATGGAACCTTCCAGGCGGGAGGCATGGTTCTGCCATCGCCTACTAGGTGACCTTGGTCAAGTGGCTTTTTGTCTGTGGATCTCCCACCATAGAGTGGTGGCCAGGACTGGACTAGCCTAGGGGTCTCCTCCAGAGGCCAGCAAGATAACAACTGTGTGAGTGAGGAGTGTTCAGGTATTTGACAAACTGGAGAATGAAAGCTAAGCCCACGGGCGTTAGGTTTTTATAAATTCATTGTGTGGCTACACAACACCTGAATTCAGCCACAGCCCCAGTTTGACAGCCCCAAAGTCCATCTTAAATGCTTAATCTTCATGATTGATTCTTTCCCAGCCTTTGAAGAGGATCGCTGTTTCGCTCCTTTCCTGGCACATGGCAATGTCACTACCACAGACCCTGAGTACCGCCCAGGGGCACTGGCCACCTTTTCATGCCTCCCAGGATATGCTCTGGAGCCCCCAGGCCCCCCCAGTGCCATCGAATGTGTGGACCCAACAGAACCCCACTGGAATGACACAGAGCCAGCCTGCAAGGGTGAGTCTGTTCACCCTACTAAGTCCTTCGACCTACAGACTTCTTCCTGGATGCCAGCAAGGCCATTCAGGAGGGAGACCAACATGAAAAACTCAGAGACCCAAACAGTGGGCAAACGCTGTCCCTTCAGGGGCTGTTTTCTTAGCTAAATAATTGGGACCTCTGAATGCAGAGGTCACAGACCTGAATATCTCTAAGACATAGAACAGAAGTTAGGCTAAGCCTCAGATCAGGCAGGTAAAGTGGAGAGTGTGTGAGGCTAATTAAGAACAGGGTTGGGGTGGGGTGGTGGTGCATACCTGTAATCTCAGCATTTAGGAGGCTGAGGCAGAAGGATTGCTGTGAGTTCAAGCCCAGTCTGGGCTACAAAGTGAGTTCTAAACCAGCCTGCATTATGTAGTAAAACTCTGTCTCAAAAGAACTAAAGAAAGAAAGCAATAGGGGGCTGGGGATTTAGCTCAGCGGCGTAAGCACCTGCCTTGCAAGCAGGCGGTCGTGAGTTCGATCCCCCGATTTAAAAAAAAAAAAAGAAAGAAAAGAAAGCAATAGGGCTGGAGATTGGGCCCAAGACCAAGATGAGGTAAGAAATCAGATGGATCACTGGGCTTGGTGGCCTGTAAACCCCAGCACTCTGGGAGGCTGAGGCAGAAGATTGAAAGTTCATATCCAACCTGCAAGTTAGTAAATTATTGAGAATCTGACTCAATAGTTTAAAAAAATAACAAAAAAAGAGCTAAGGATGTAGTCTAGTGTGAAAGCCGTGGGTTCAGTCTCCTATATCAAAACAAAACAAAGACAAAAAAAAAATTAAAAACAATACCAGATGGATCATCAAAACTAGGCAACATTCGAGGTGATTTGGTGAGGACTGTGGCGAGGGGTCCTAAACCACACACCTCTTGTGCCCTAGCCATGTGTGGAGGGGAGCTGTCTGAGCCAGCTGGCGTGGTCCTCTCTCCCGACTGGCCCCAGAGCTACAGCCCTGGCCAGGACTGCGTGTGGGGCCTGCATGTCCAGGAAGAGAAACGCATCTTGCTGCAGGTTGAGATGTATGTCTGGGTCCCATGGAGGGTGAGGTGGGTGGGCTTGGCCGGATGTGGGATGACAGCATTCTGACCTGTGTTGACAGAGGTTCACTGGATGCATATTATGGCCATTAAACAAGTCACCACAGGCTCAGGATATTGTGGGAGCCCTAGGCGCAAATCACTTATTAGCCAGGTGACTCTGGACAAAGCAAAGGGACAATGCAGCCCTTGCACGGGAGGAGGGGTTTGCTACTGGGAGCAAAGGATGTGGCCTGGCATCTCTCACTCTGGAGGTTTCTGAGGCTGTCCCTGGAGCGATTCCCAGGGACCCAAACCCCAAAATGTTGCATCACTAACAACATCCAAGGTGGGCATAGGTGCAGGGAGAACTGAGCAGGCTGGCTTGGTATGAAGTGGTCACGTGACTGGACTCAGCCAGCGGTGGGTGTGGCTCCATAAGTACCGAGGTGGGGACTCCATGCTGTGCAGGGTAGTGAAGACTGGCGTGTGATTGATCAGAGCCAGAGTTCCCGAGGAGATGAAGGTTGGAGAGTGTGAGCAGTAGCGAGCAGTAAAAAGGACTGAAAATTAGGAAGGAAATGTGAGATGTCATAGAACTGGGTGACTGGACAGTAGCTGGGGGAAGGTGTGGCGTGGACTAGCATAGACGAAAACTCAAGATTGTTAGTAAAACTGAGGCTGCACAGCCGGGCACGGTGGTATGCTTATAATCGCAGCACCTGGGAGGCTGAGGCGGGAGCGTCGCTGTGAGTTAGAGGGTAGCTGGGGCTACATGGTGAGTTCAGGACCTGCCTGAACTACGTAGTGAGACCCTCTCTCAAACAAAAGACTCCACAAAGCTAAGGCCATACCACTCCTGAGAGCGGCAGATAAGGAGCAGAGCAGGTGGGGTTACTGATGGACAGTGCTGCAGACTGGTCAAATCAGGCGGGCGGGGCGGCCCACTGCCCCACCTGACTGTGTGTTCTGTGCCCCGCAGTTTGAACGTGCGGGAAGGAGACATGCTGACACTCTTCGACGGGGATGGCCCCAGCGCCCGGGTGCTGGCTCAGCTGCGGGGGCCTCAGCCACGCCGCCGCCTCCTCTCCTCCGGGCCCGACCTCACGCTCCAGTTCCAGGCGCCGCCCGGGCCTCCAAACCCGGGCCTGGGTCAGGGCTTCGTATTACACTTCAAAGGTACCGAGGCAGAGACCCCGGGACGGGCCGGCAGGGTCGGCGGGCCAGGCGCCCCGAGAGAGGACACCCAGAGCGCAGGCCCCAAGGCTGCAGGGAGCCCGAGCCCCCAGGCAGCGCCCACACTCGCCTTGTCTCCTGCAGAGGTCCCCAGGAACGACACCTGCCCCGAGCTGCCCCCTCCGGAATGGGGCTGGAGGACGGCGTCCCACGGGGACCTGATTCGGGGCACGGTGCTCACGTACCAATGCGAGCCCGGCTACGAGCTGCTGGGCTCGGACATCCTCACCTGCCAGTGGGACCTGTCCTGGAGCGCCGCGCCGCCCGCCTGCCAAAAGAGTGAGTGGATCCGGTCCCCCAGCCCCGCGACCCCTCCTCCGCCTGCGCTTCGCCCCACCCCTCTCTGCGGTCCCTGTACCGCCCATACCACCTTCGCTCTGAATCCTGGCCCCAACCCCATGTCCTTGGCTCCTGCTGCGTTCAGTGCTCTGAAACCGTCCCCTGTAGCTAGGTCTCCCTCGCATCTTCTAGCTGCCAAGGTCCACTGGGCCCCACCCCTCCTCCTGAGCTGGCCGCCTGCCCTGTCTGTCTGTCTGTCTGTAACCCTTGACATCCTAGGGAGTCACTTTACTGGGACCAAAGCTTATCAGTGTTCGGTTTGTTTTAATGCAGTTTCTGAAGGATTATTGAGTTGGGGAGTTAGAGGAGGGGTGTCCTGATACAGCCTGAGAAGGAATGGGATACCTGAACAAAAAAAAAACAGGACATTACAAAGTGGCTGACTTCGGCACCACCCTTAACATCTTGAGCTGGGGTGTCCACTTGTCCTTTGTGGGACAGTGCAGAAAGCTCAGACGAGGTGACATTTAAACGAGCTGGAAGTGTGCATCTCTTAGAAGAGATAGTAGCTTCTTGGCACTGTCTCCGTATTTTGGGAAGCCTGACACATGGGCACAGAGGTGTGGCTCTTCCACCAGTTCCTAGGAAGGAACTGCCCCTAGGAACTGTGGCAATGGAGAGACTTGTGGGAGACATTTTAGGAAACCAGATACATGATCTGGTAGGCGCAATTCCCCATCGCTGGAAGGATTCATGGAATGTCAGCCTGCAGCTGACCCAGCTTTGGTTCGGAAGGTGTCCTGCCTGAGGCAGCACATCTAACCTGAAGCTCAGAGAGCCAAGTCTGAATCTGTGCCCAGTGCTGCAGGCTGTGACTCTGAGCAGGTTCCAGCTCTACTGCTCCTGGCCAGAGTGCTGGGCCGCAGGCCCCAGAAAGTGACATTAACCTCTTAGGATAATCAGGGTTAAATATTATGTTTGTAAAACCTTTAGCAGGGTGCCTGGCTCAGGTGCAATAAACGATTATGATTATGACCTTGCACAGCTGGGCTGTAAACTCACAAGCCTGCAGGGGCTGGGCACACTATGTAGGGAAGCCTAGGGGTTGAGCTGGCCTTCTCTGGTATGGTGATTAAATATTTTTCAATTCTGCCCCCAGGTAGTGGTCTAGGTTTGCTCTACTCACTGTTTTCCAGAAGAAGTATGAAATATAGAACACATTGAATTTTAAATTTGTCCCATCCATGCCCTCTTCCTTTCTAGGAACTGGTGGCAAGGTAGGAAGGAGGGTCAGTCAGAGGAGGAGATGGCCTAAAGTTCAAGCCTCTCTCAGCTTTGAGTTTCTGGGAGAAATTTGAAGGCCCTTGCTCACCCTGACCTTGCTCTTCTGTCACCAGTCATGACCTGTGCCGACCCTGGAGAGATCACCAATGGGCACCGGACGGCCTCAGATGCTGGCTTTCCTGTGGGCTCCCATGTACAGTACCGCTGTCTGCCAGGGTACAGCCTGGAGGGAGCAGCCGTGCTCACCTGCTACAGCCGGGACACAGGCACACCCAAGTGGAGTGATCGTGTCCCCAAGTGCGCCTGTGAGTCCAGACACACCCCAGGAAGGGGGCTGGGTAGCCTTGGGGAGAGTCTGGCAGCCACATGCTGGGCCTGCTCAGTGGCACAGCTGCCACGTGACGGGTACCCTCCCTGCAGTGAAGTATGAGCCGTGCCTGAACCCTGGGGTCCCCGAGAATGGCTACCAGACGCTGTATAAGCACCACTACCAGGCTGGCGAGTCTCTGCGATTCTTCTGCTATGAGGGCTTTGAGCTTATCGGCGAGGTCACCATCACCTGCGTGCCCGGCCACCCTTCACAGTGGACCAGCCAGCCCCCGCTCTGCAAAGGTGCCTGGATGGGCAGGGCAGGAGGGGCACAGCAGTGTCCAGGGAGTGACAGTGCTGGGAAAGTTGTATAGGAAATTCAGAACAATGGGTGACACTTCCCTTCTGTGGGCTGTCATCCTCACAGGCATATCTAGAAGCCCTGGGAAAATTTGAGATCTCAGAATTACCCTACGGAATGTAGCAGAGGGGCCCTTGGTTTGGAACACCCTTGCCCTCTCTGGATAGGCCTCAGCTTTCCTACTTCTGACAAATTCTAAAGACCTGGTTGGCTCAGACCATCCAAGAACTTTGAACTTTAATTTAGGAGTCTGGAGAAGGAAGAAGGCCCTGCCCTAGTCAGCCCTAAGGGAAGGGTACAGTTCAGGTCGAGCAGAGGACAGGGAGAACCAGGCTGTCTGGCCCAGCCCCACCGGAGCCCTCTCCCCAGCCTCCTTCCCTCCCTGGCTCAGACCCCGTCCCCTCCCCCTCCTCTCCCTGCAGTGGCCTATGAGGAGCTCCTGGACAACCGAAAACTGGAAGGTCAGTGAGGGCACAGGTGGAGACCCAGGCCTGGCCAGGTCGGGAGGGCAAGGCAAAGGCCTGGGGTAGGAGGCCAGGCCCCGGAGGGATGAGGCCCAGGGTTCAGGGCCCAGGGCAGGAGGCTGGGAGAGCCCAGGATCAGGCCCAGCCTTGGCTCACTGGCCTTTCTTCCCTAGTGACCCAGACTACAGACCCGTCACGGCAGCTGGAGGGTGGAAACCTCGCCTTGGCCATCTTGCTGCCCCTAGGCTTGGTCATTGTCCTTGGTAGTGGCGTTTACATATACTACACCAAGTAAGTACCCTCTTACTGCCTGCTGGGACATGTTACGCCAAACTGGACAAAGTGCGCTCAGGGGCTTGCCCACTGGAAAGCCCTTCTGTCCTCTCCCTTTCCAGGCTGCAAGGAAAATCCCTTTTTGGCTTCTCGGGCTCACACTCTTACAGCCCCATCACCGTGGAGTCGGACTTCAGCAACCCACTGTATGAAGCTGGGGTGAGCCTCTTCCCTCCCCCAGATGCCACATCCCTCTCCCCCCCAGGACTCCATAGCTCTCTCTCAAGGTCTCTGTAATCTCTTCTCAGGAATGTCAAACTTGGATGCCCTGAAGGCCATGTCAGTGGGCAAAGCAAACTGTGCAAACAATAGGGAATGGTGAAAACGTGGCTAATGGGAGCTCTAACCCACAGTGGACACTTCCTCTCCACTTCCAGCTCTCCCAATGGTTCCAGACAATCCAGAAACTCACTCTTTATGTCATTTTAAGACACCATAGAATAAATCAAACACCCACTGGCCAGATTCAGCCCTGTTCTCACTCTGTGATTCCAGGCCCCTAGTCAGTTACTTAGAAACCCCAGGGTCCTCCCTCTCCACCTCCATCTCCACCAACACCTGACCTGATCTCTCCATCTTCAGGACACACGGGAGTACGAAGTTTCCATCTGAACACAAGACCACGTCTGCAGGACCCAGGACACCCCTTCCCTCCTCATTCAGGGCAGTGGGGAGCACAAGACCTAGTCTCTGGCTCCTGGCTTCCTTTTCCCCTGCTGTGTAAATAGTTGCCCCACCCAACGAAGGGGCTTTGATGGCCCTGGAGTCCCCACAGTAAATAAACCAGCATCCTGCCGCCCAAAGCCTCCTCTTCTCAGTTGCCAAACAAGGAGCCTGGCCTCTATCTTGCTGGCTTTTGGACCCTGGGAGGGAAACTCAGCTCCCTTACAACTCTTAGGCCTCTCTGGCCCACCCACGGCTCCCTCCCTCAAGGACAGCCCTCCATGGCTCTACCCTCCCCTTGGCTGTGAAGGCTCCTCACCTCCCTGATGCCTGAGTCCCAGGCCTTGGATGGGGAAAAGCAGAGGGAAGAAGAGGAGAGCTGGGCCAAGATTCTGCCCCTTCCTGCTGTCTGTCTGACCCACAGTCTCCACCTTTGCTTCTGGAGTTTTTTGGTTTTGAGCAATAAACAGAAAATCATCACTTGTAACTGGGCTGGTGGGGTGTGGGAAGATGGGTCCAGGAGGGTCGGAGACCATGATGGGCATTACCATTGGAGAGGGTTTGGGGAAGGGGAACTGTTTGGGGTGGGGAAAGGTGGGGATCTGCAACCAATCAGGTTAGAGCAATACATGGGTGCTGACTTGGTGTCAAAAGCCCTGGCCTTAGGCTCTGCCTCTGCACCAGGTCTTGGCACTGCCAGGTGGTTTCAGCTGGGACAGCTGACAGTAGCCTCCCTTTCCTGTCACTGTTTGGCAGCAGGCAGCTATAGAGAACCCTTTCTTGACCTGTCGTGGCCCAGGAAGGTTTATAATTGTAATCCCAAGGAGAAGTTACTAGAATCTTAGTGAGTTAATTTTAATCTACCACGTGCAATCCATGGAGAGAAGAAAGACACTGAGACATATATACAGATATAGGGGCCAAGGGGTCCTAAATCCACCCAAGATAGTGGTCTACTGGAACAAAGGCCTCATCCCAGAGGCCTTCCCAGGTTTTATTCTCCCTGAGGGGAGTGGCTTGGGATGAGTGACAGAGTGGCAGGGAACGTGACTGCCATGAGCTGGGCTAAGTAGGCGATCTGAAATCACCTCTCCCGCAAGCAGAAGGCAAGAAATGCAAAGAGCAATCTGCGTAACACAGCTGAGGTGGTGTCTAATAATGTGGGGTCAGTGCTTCAGTTCCGATGCACAAGTCACAGCCTCTTTCTCAAGCCTTGGTCCCAGCTGACAGTGACAGCATGGAGTAGGGCTCTCCATCCCGCCCCACTCAACCATGCATTTAGTGAGTCACTGAGTGGGGTAAAACTGACCTGTCCCTTTGCTTTAGAGATTGTATATTAACTCCTCAGCCAGCCCAATTTATATTGCTTAAAGCCAACTGAAGGGAAAAGAAATAACCTAGCCAGCTCTGCACATATCAATACATGGAGCTAGGTGCTCCTCTGTTCAAGGAGAGTCCTAAGGGTGCTTCCCCACAGGCAACCAGCTTTCAATTTATTTCATAGACAATTTATGTAAAAGCCCACCTCCTTTTGAGAATTTTTGTTTAGATTCAAATGTTCCATTCTCCACCACCCAATTTTTTGGCACCTGCTCCTACACAAGTTCAATAAACTTTTGAACATTGTAAGCAATTTGCAGCTGGAGATTGAACCTAACGACTTCACATGGGCCAAGGACTCCACTACTGAGCTACACCCTCAGTTCAATTTATAGCCTATTTATTTAAAAAGTATCTCTTTGAATGAACTAATTTTTACTTAACATAAAATGATATATTAAAGTCCAACTGAACATGTTTAATACAGTGATGGGGTGCTCAAAAGGGGGAGAGTTTAGGAGAACATGAGGCAAATCGATTTTCATAATAGTTTAAGCTTCTTTTTTGTTTTTTGAGACAGGATCCCACTATGTATTCCAGGCTGGCCTTAAAGTCACTATGTTACCCAGGCTAGCCCACACTTATAATCATCCTACCTCAGCCTCTGAACTCTGGGATCACAGGTTTTCACCATCATACCCACTTTTAAATTCATTTTCAATCTAGCACTATGTTAAGCACTTTGTATGTAATAGGGTTTTGTTTTGTAGTACTAGGGATTGAACGCAGCAAGTACTGAGCTACATCTCAGCACCCCACCCTTTTTTCAAAGTGTTTTTTATTTTGAGTCAGGGACTAAGTTACCAGACTGGCCTTAAACTTGACATCCTCCTGCTTCAGCCTCCCAAGTGGGATTACAGGTAGGCAGTCCTTTTGGCACCAACCACAAGTGCTCTGTGAAATCAGGTCAATTTAGTATCCTCACTTTTTGGATGAGGAAGCTGAGGTTCAGAGAGTAAACTGACATCCTCAGGTGGCCCAAATAAGTGACCCAGGCCACTGCAATGAAAATGCCATGAGGCCTTGTGACTGACTTCCGGCTAGTGATGAGAGTGATACATTCTCCTAGATACGAAGCCCCAAGGACCTTCCTCCTCAGAGCAAGAGGCTATGGCTCAGGGCCCTTGGCACCAACCACAAAGGCCACCACTGCTCCTCAGAAGCAAGAGTGAGTCCTCCCAGATATCACAACCCTAAACAGGATGGTGTTAGTGTTTGGCTGAGAAGCTGGGTTTAGGTCCATGAGCTGGCCTCCGCCACTAGGTGATAGATCACTGCCTGAGAGAAAGCCATTCCTATAATGTGCCCACATCCAGCATTCGCATCAGGAAAGAAAGGGGGCTCATCCTCCTCCCACATCTCCATCCCAGAGGAGCCACACCAGAGTACCAGTTGGAGGTGCTGGTGGGGCTTCCCCAGTTCTTTATTGAAGCCTTTTCTTCTTGGTGGAGCCTTTACTGGCTGAGTGGAGTCACACAATGGTTCTGGAAGACTCTTCAGAGGTGACACTGCTCAAGACCAGGAGTTCCTCTCAAAATGAAGTGTTTAATGAGTTGCAAAAGGGGCCTCTTGAGGCATGTTCTAGAGAGACAAAATTGGGGAGGGCATAAGAGGCCAAGGGCAGTACCAAGAGGGATGCTGGGAAGTGCTCCCCAGAAGAGAGTTAGAGCATGTTGATGCTTTGGACCTAAGGTTCATATGTTATCCTTCCATTCTTCACCCACCCATCCGATCTATGCAGCACCTATCCACCATTCTGCATCTAGCCAGCTCTCCATCCACTCTCATTCTTCTTCCATCCAACCCAGCACTCATCCATGTATCTGCACATCATATCCCAACCACCCTTCCACTCATCCATCCCCCTATACCTCATCATCTACCCAGCCACTCCTCTCTCTTCTATCTAGTCACACATCCTCCCCAACTTAACTTGCTTGACAGCAAGGATTCCATTTTGCTCACACTAGCTCTAGCCCACAGAGCCAGCACCTAGCAGGTCTTTAACACACAGTCAATGAACAGGTCCATTTATCCATTCACCCACCTACCCACCACCCCATGTACTCACTCATTGCCCCCCCTAATATTTTTTACTAACTATAATGCCCCACAAATTAAGGAGTGATTAGAGATTAATAGGCCTCTGATTTTCTTTTCTTTTTCCTTCCTTCCTTTCTGTGTGCAGCTGAGGATTGAAACCAGGGCCATGGACGCATTAGTGCTCCACCACTGAAGTACATCTCCAGAAATATCTTTTTTTTTTTTTTTTTTTTTGTCTTTCTCCTTTTTATTGGTACCAGGGATCGAACTCACGACTGCCTGCTTGCAAGGCAGGTGCTTATGCCGCTGAGCTAAATCCCCAACCCCCAGAAATATCTTTTTAAATTTATGAGATAGAGTCTTTCTTGGATGAGAAAGGCAAAGTCTCCTGGGATCATGGAGAGCTGGCAGGTGAACCAGGGGAAGATGTTTACTAAGGACACAATCCTCAACCAAATGTTACTTGGGGAAGGACAGTTAGGGTCTTCATAAAACATGACAGATGGAGAGAAGGGCAGAACTTGCATAATGCTAACTACCAAATTAACAACAGATAAGTTGTTAAGGCCCAGGGCTTTTCTGCTGTTTTAAGCTGTTTCTAATACCATCCCAGTTGAGGGAGATCAAATGTTCAAAAGATACTACACAAAGTCAGCTCCGTGAGGACAAGGATAATGGCTTATTCTCAGCTGTATTTTGTCCCAGGTGTTGGCAATGAATACTTGAAGCAGTGGCCCAAGGAGACAAATGACTATCACCATGGCTTGGTAAGCCTCGCACATCATGAAACATTCAATAAGCATGTGTTGGCTGTCAATTCCTGCTCTGCCTACCTCTTGAGCCACAACCCCTCACATGGAGGGGCTCCTCAGGACACAACTTCAGCAATGCCTTCTTTTTTCCTGTACCTAAACCCTGCAGGGCACGAACACACTCCCCTTCCAATCCCAATTCCCTCAGGATGACTTCCAGATCCTATCACTAGCCTAGAATCCACACTGCTGACTGTCTACAGGGCATTTCCACCTGAGATTCCATAAACACATGTATGTCTAAAGGCAGAACACAAAACAAGGAGAGCAGTTATAAGTAAAGAGGTCTGAGAGATGGCGCAGGGAATCACATGGGTGCTTGTAAACACCAGAGGACAGAAGCTTTTGTTTCGAGATAGTAAGTTACTATTAAAGTCTGCATAAGTCCAAAAACTGGAAGGCTGGGAATACAGCTCAGAGGCACAGCACCTGCCTAGCAAGCACAAGGTCCTGAGTTCAATTCCCAGTACAAAAAAATAATGTCAAAAAACTGGAATTACTTGATACTCCCACCCTGCCATTTCTAATTGGTTCCCTTTCCCCCATCTCTGCCATAACTGTGACAGGCCATGACCTAACTAGCTTGTAAATGATCTTTCTGCCTCCAGTCTTTTTCCCTTTCCCACTGACCACCAAAGTGGCAGATATAAAATTCCCACCTTCCTTGCTCAGACTCTTTAGTGACTTTTCACCATGAGGAAAATGTCTACGGATTGTCACAGGGAACACACAACTCTCTCCTGATTAGTCCCCGTCTACCCTGTCTACATCCTCCAGCAGTTAAGCTCTTGGGCTCCCCATTCTGTCCATCCTGGATGCAAACTCATACATAACATCTTGTGCTTACTCTGCTAAGACTTATCTCTGGGCCTTTGCTTATGAAACCCCTACTGCTTAGAATATCTGGAAAACTATTTCCTAACTGTCACTTCCTTCAGGAAGTTCCATGATTTCCTTTCCTGCCCCATGCAAGGTTTAGATACAAATTGTAGTTTTTTTTTTTTTTTTTCTTTGCAGTTCTGGGGATGGAACCCAGGGCTTCATGCATGCTAAGTACATGTTCTATGACTGAGCTATGCCCCAGTACAGGTAGTCTCATTATTTGCATTTCTATTATGGACACTCACCCATATTATATTGTAACTGATCATCCACTTACCTTTTCTCATACTAAAGTTATTCAAGGCCTGAAACTATTTCATTTATTTCTATTTCCTAGCCTCCTCCAATAGGCAATGGCAAGTTGTGCAAACTCCCAAAGTCGGGCTAACATGGAATTGCCTTGTGTGTACCTTTTCATGAGATGTCAGGAGATGTGCCTTGGTGCAACTATGGTTTCTGTTGGAGTTGGCAACGGAAGAAGAGAAGGAAGAAGGCTAAGAACTCTGAATGCGAGGACCAGACAACAGTATAAACTGCATAGCTCCACCCCCCATAATCTCACCCCACACCACCCTGCTGGGATGTTGTTAAGCCCTCACTTTCTCCCCTACAGGCTCCTCCTCCTTCTCCCAGGACAAAGAGCATCTTCCCTGAAACATCACTTACTCAGCAGGTGTCAGTGCCTGGAGTCTTGGTGAAGAAGGCTGGAAGAGAGCCCTAGTCTGAGAAATGACTCTTTCTTAAGCCAGAAAGACATAGGACTGGGGCAGAAGAGGGCAAGGAGATTCCTGGCCACAGGGAGGAGTCAGTACTGGGTTAGTGGGGAAGGGGTGCAGTGCCCTCAGCTGGCTCAGAGATGGGAGGCATGGACAGGTTCCTGGAGAGGTCAGCTGTGGATGAAAGGGGATCAAAGACTGGAACTACGCATGCAGCAGGGTCTCTAAACACTGTGGTCCTGAGTAGTCCATGTTTGGAAATCTGAGTCCCTTGGTCTTTTGTCTGCTTTTTCTTGAGGGGCTCAGGGTACATGTGGCAGGAAGCAATAAACAAGGCCTCTTCTGTGAGTTCAGCGCTGATTCGAGTCAGGGATTCTTCAGAACGAGATACTGAAGGCTTCTGGGAAAAGAGAAGCAGATGGGTTCAGCCTGGGAATTCTACTCAGTCTGGGAGTCCTAGATTTGGGAACTCTTATGCTGGAGATGAGAAGTCTGGCATTAAAGGGTTGAGGCTTGAGATTTGTTCCAAAGACCCTGGATCTTGGGGGAGCAATGAGTGGGGGACCCCAGGACCTAAAGGTTAAGTATCAGGACTAGAGTCTCAGTGCTGGTGGTGCAGACCAAGGTCTGGGTGCTTTGCTTGGCAGCTCATCTCAGCACACTCCCAGCCAGTGCTCACCCGCCTTCCACTCAAGGTCCGTGCAGCCTCGGGTGGCCAGCTGTCTTCCTCCTTCTTGGCAGAAGTGGATGCCATGCCCTGGGAACAAAGCCTGTTATCAGCCTGAGGAACCACTCCCTCCCTCAGAACCAATGTGTCACCATTCTTCCAGGTCAGGTTAATTGAAGCCATTAGATAAAATGGTCCACTCTCCAAAATAATAATAATAATAATAATAATAATGATAATAATAATAATTTTGAGCCAAGCTTGGTGGTGGCTGCCTGTAACTCTAGCATTTAAGAGGCTGAGGCATGGGGCCAGGTATATATCTTGACACAAGTGCCTGCCTGGCAAGCCCAAGGTCCTGAGTTTGATTCCAGATACCAAAGGGGCGGGGGGGGGGGGGGAGGCTGAGGCAATGTAACAATGCTCTTGGTGAAATCTTTTTTTAAAAAATCACAAATTCGAGGCCACCCTGGGTTATTATAGCAAACCCCTATCTCATCCCCCACCACTTCCACCCATTGTTGGGCGGTTGTCCTTTTTTCCCCCTTGGTAAGGCGGGCTTCCACAAAAACGCCCTCCTCTATTTCACCACGGAAGCCTTTTTCTTCCTTCTTCCCCCCATGGCTTATCCCAAGCAAGGCAGCCTGCTTGCCGCTGCCCACCCTCAGCAGATGGGTAGAAATCTTGGGACCCTAGAAAGGAAGGGAGAAGAGGTCTAAGGGCCCCTATTTCGGGTCACAGGGGATGGGAAATAGGAGTCTGGGGGTAAGGCTGGAAAGAGGGGGAGCCAGGACGGTGCTGCTCCTGGTTCTTCTGAAAATCTTAATGTTTGCGAAGCTTCTGCAGCCGTTGCTAGGAGATTAGAGGTTCTAGAACCAGAGACGAAAGCATTATTCTGGCGTGCCCCGTTCAGTCCTCCAGCCTCCCCTCCTGGTTCCTTCTGGGGCAGGGGGGTAACCACTACGCTGGAGGTTTAAATTAGGAAGGATGACGCAGGGTGGAGCCTGATCCCTAATCTTCCCACCACTAGGGTGCTCCTAGAAGCAAGGACACCGCCCTCCACAGCTCTGCAGCCTCTCTAGCCACCACTTCCCGCCCCGACCAGCGAGAGCAAAGGCGGCCAGAGCCTCAGCGCGTCGGGAAGGAAAATGTGGACTGTACTAAATCTCCTAATGTACAAGGGGGATGAAGACTCAGGAGGGCGGACTCTTACAGCCTTCTCTTCATCTCCAGCAAGTTTTACACTCTGTAAAAAGGACGGTAGAACTACTTATGCAAGGCTCTTCCATTACACCTTTTTCAGCTCTTTTCTTGGCTCTGCGCTGGCAGTATCTGCTCCCTCCCCCCCAACCTTTGCACTTTGGTACGAGCGGATGCTAAGAGGTCGAGGGAGGACGAGGAAAAAGGAAGCAGGCAGATTTTAAAGGGGACGCAGACTTTTTATTTTTTTTAAAGCGGCTTTTTCCAATTTTGCAACAACAGGCCCTGAAGAGTAGGTTTCCAGAAGCGGAGCACAGCTGAAGCAGCAGGCATCTCTGCTGCTAGCCACGGGCTGGGCAGAGGCGTGAGATTGCCTATCCGAAGGGTGGGGTGCACTTGCCGCTGAACTCCACGCTCCAGCCGGCTGCGGAGTTGATCATCTGGGTCCGGGCAGGGACAGTGGGGTTCAGAGTGCGCAGGTCGGAGGGTGAAGCTACGCAAGTAGGGTTGAGACAGAGCTGGTACCTACTGAGCGGGCCGCGGACGGCAAAGAGGCCGCCGCGATGCCAGAAGAAAACATCTTCCTGTTTGTGCCTAACCTCATCGGTGAGTGCTGCCTGCAGCCCCGGGTCGAATGGGAGGGCGAGGGGTTCAGGCAGGCTCCCTGATCCTGCCCTGTCTCCTTTGTCCCATTCCAAGGTTATGCCCGGATTGTCTTCGCCCTCATTTCTTTTTACTTCATGCCTTGCTGCCCTCTCACGGCCTCGTCCTTCTACCTGCTCAGCGGTCTTTTGGACGCTGTGGATGGACACGCAGCTCGAGCCCTTAATCAAGGTAACAGATGGCTCGCCCCGTCAGCACTGGGGCTTGACAATCCCTTGCCCCTTCTCCCTGACCACTCGGGACTAAGAAGTCCTTCCCATCTCTGTAGAAAGCAGAACCGAATCATTTAGTTTTGTAGCAAAAGGAATTTAAGCTTGCTCCAGAGAATTCCCTGCTTGTGAGAGGAAGACCAAGATCAAAGGTGGCCTTGGCATTGGTAGAGACCTCTGATTAATTCATTCAACAGGTGTTTACTGAGACCTACTGTGTGGTAGGCACAAACAGTAGGATTCCAAAAGGCAGGCTGAGAGATAGGGGAGGAGGGTTGATTGATTCATTAATCCTATGCCCAGACCCACCTTTTAAGACTTCCCCTAGCTGGGTGTGGTGGCACTTGCCTGTTCAAGGCCAGCCTGGGTTACATAGAGACCCTGTCTCAAAAACAAACAAACAAAAACTCCTTAATTATGCTTGGTTTGTTTTGGTTTGGTTTTTTGTACCAGCAATCAAACTCGGGACCTTGCATTTGCCAGCAGGCAGTGTGCCACTGAGCTATGTCGCCAGCCCAATTCTGCTTGCTTGTCTTGTCTGGAGCCTGGGTCCTGAGGTTGAGTTGAAGACATTCCCCCCTCCTCTCTCCCCCATGGTTCCCTTCACACTCATTCCATGTCTCAGTGAGCTTTGCACCGTTCTCACACCCTACTGACAGCAGCATCTTGTCTTCCCTGGGTAGTGCATGATGGACATTTTCAGTCTGCTTTTAGACTGTGTAAGAGTACTGTCCCCAACAACTCCTTCCTACCTAATAGTCCCTGTTTTCCAGGAACCCGGTTTGGGGCCATGCTGGACATGCTGACGGACCGTTGCTCCACCATGTGTCTGTTAGTCAACCTGGCCCTGCTGTACCCTCGGGCCACCCTTCTCTTCCAGCTCAGCATGAGCCTGGATGTGGCCAGTCACTGGCTACACCTGCACAGGTCTGCCTTGGTTCTGGGTACTGAGCACTGCAGTGAGGAGGGTGTGTGGGACTGGCCTCAGGCTTCTCTGGTTGTCCCCTTTTAGGTTCTGCTTTGCTGAACAATCATGGGCCAGCTGTCCCCCTCAGTCATGTTTACAGTGGGGTTGAACAGTTCCTCGGCCCCTTCTGGCTGGATAGTCTGGGCTTCCAAGTGATGTGAGGACCAGATGGGTATTAGTGGTAATGAACACTCGGGAATCCTCTCTGTTTTCTCTCAAAGTTCTGTGGTGCGAGGCAGTGAGAGTCACAAGATGATTGACCTGTCCGGGAATCCCGTGCTCCGGATCTACTATACCTCCAGGGTGAGCCCTTCCTGTCCTTCCCCCTCCTCTCAGCTGTTATGTGGGAAGTCCTTGCTGAACCCTGATGCCAGATCTACAGAGGGCATTGTGAAGTGGAAAATAAGGGAGGACTGTGGGGATTGGTGGGGAGGACGGGTGTGAGTCTTCCAGAGGAGCTAAGGAGTCAGTGCTGCCCAATGGGAGGAACTGAGGATGGAAGGAGGAGAGGAGGGAGAGAGAGAAACCAGAGAGGTGTGTGTGAGGATGCAGAATGTGGCCTTTAATCTGAGATCCTGGGCAGCCTCTGGAAGGAGTTTTACAAAGGCGGGTGATCTGTGGAGCTGGGTGCGCCCTCAGCAGTGCGGGGCAGGGCAGGGGCAATGGCCTGCCTCCTGTTCAACGGTCTGTGCTCTTTATGCAGCCTGCTCTCTTCACACTGTGTGCTGGAAATGAGCTCTTCTACTGCCTCCTCTACCTGTTCAATTTCTCTGAGGGACCATTAGGTAGGAGAGGAGGGGCTGGCCAGGAGATGGGAGGGGGGTCCTGCCCTGCATTGCCCTGCCCTGTCCCTGCGCTGACTGCGCTGACCTACCAAGGAGGTAAAGCCTTAGAGTCTGGGTCCCTCAGGCTCATTCTCCGCATACACTGTCGCTCCCACAGTGGGATCTGTCGGGCTTTTCCACATGGGCCTCTGGATCACTGCCCCCATTGCCTTGCTCAAGTCTGTCATCAGTGTCATCCACCTGATCACTGCTGCCCGGAACATGGCTGCCCTGGATGCAGCAGACCGTGCCAGGAAGAAGTGACCCTGGAAGCTCCAGCCCTCACTGGCCTGGTGTCTCACAGCACCACCTGGCTCCCGTCCCCCTCCTAGGAGGCCCCAGTCTCACATCTTCCTGTGTTGTGTTCTCCACCCTGTGGACAGGGTCCGCCTGTCTCCGGTATTGTCACCATGTCTGTAATCCTGTAGGCCCATCCCTGGGGTCCCCAAGGACCTGGGCTACAAATGAGGAAGGCTGCTGAGAGGCCCCACCCCTACAGCTGGGGCTCCTAGATACCAGGAGTCCTCTCTAAAGAATGGGCACCGCCACACCCGCTGGGGCTTGGCCTTGGGCCCCACCCAGCCTGCGACTTTAAGGACACTTGGGTGGCGGAGATAATATAGGAGTTGGCTTCCCAAAAGACAGAGGAGTCAGACCTCTACTCCTGGACGGACAAAGCCTGGGGCACCATGCCCAAGAGGGAAGGGGTTGTTGGTCTCCCCATCTGGTCTGCCTCAGCCCCGGAAGCCTCCATAATAAAGACAGGAGCTTCAGTCTTGTAGATGTGGTTTTCTTCTAAACAATTTGGGGTCAGGGTGGGGGTTGAGGGGAGTGTAGAGAAAAAGGGAAATCTCTCTGCTCAGTTTTCTTGCTGGCTGCTTCCTGTCACATTGTACAATGACACCTCACAGAGAGGCCCTTCCTGCTGCCCAAGCTCATGCTGCACTTCTCTGCCCACCTGCTTCGTCTGCTTTTATTTGTATTCTGGATATTTTCTCCCTCCAGGATAATGTACATTTGGGGAAGGCACAGACTTTTCTTCTTCCTTTCTCTGTGTAGAATTAACACCTTAACCTGGCATACAGTAGGTGTTTAATAAATATTCCTGAAAATATCAGTTGGTTTCTCAGTGGGATCCTGAGACCTATTGGATTGTTCTTTCATTTTTTAAGTTTTTATAATGGTATTAGGGATTGAACTGAGGGCCTTCACTCAGCTATATTGTCAGCACTTTAAAAAAAAAAAAAGATTTTTTTTTTTTTTTTTTTAGATGGGCTCTTGCTAAGTTACCCAGACTGGGCTCAAACTTGTGACCCTCCTGCCTCAGCCTCCAGCGTGCTAGGCTTATAGGTATGCACCACACCTGACAGAATAGTTCTTAAAATGTTTCTAGTTGGACCTTTGAGACAGAATCTCCATAAATGGGCCAAGATGTCTGTAATTTTGATAAACTTCATGTGGTTCTTCCCAGTGACACTCATGTTCCTTCTTAAAAAACATTTCTGGAGCTGGGCATGGTGTCCCACTCCTGTAATTCCAAAACTCGGGAGGCTGAGGCAGGAGGATTGGCCACTTTGAGGCCAGCCTGCACTATAAAGTGAGACTCTGCCTCCAAAAAAGAAACTGGGGAGAGGGCAGCTGTTATCTACCACATACTAGCCCTACCACCTGAGTTGTTCTTCTGTCCTGTGCCAAATAACTTTGTTTTTGTTTTGGTGGAGGGGGATTGAACACTGTTGTGCAAACACTGTACCACTGAACCACTTCCCCAGGCACTAGGTAATTTTTAAAACTACAATGGATCTACCATATGCAAGATCCTATACTAGAGTTCTTGGCAAACATTACTCATTTCATTCTCATAATAGCTCAGACAGGTGGTCAGAGTAGGCTCTTGGGTCTTGGAAAACTGAAATTTACCAGGTGTATACTGGGCCCAAGCCCTGGGGGCGGCCCAGGGGTATCCACAGGTACTCGCTGGTGACCGCTCATGAGCGCCTGGGTAAGCAGTGGGCACACAGTGTTTGTGTGAAAGATGCCACAGCTCCTTCGGTAGCATTTGATGAAGAGCAAAGCTGATAGGGACCGGGGAGGCATCCAGTAGTGTGCCTAGCCAAGGGGGCAGTGTGGTGTGGGAAAGCCAGAGAGAGCTCAGGCAGTGACACACACAAGTAGACTTGTATGGGAAGGTGTCCTGCATAAAGGCGCATAACTAAAGAGGGACATGTCCCCCAAGACCCCCAAAGAAGTTATTTGGTCAAGCAAGACTGTGACCTATCCTGGCAGATAATAACAGGCAGAAAAAACTAGAGGAGCGGGATGGGGATATAGCCCAGCAGCACAATGCCTCCCTGGCAAGCTCGAGGTCATAAATTCAATCTTCCATGCCATAAAAACAAAAACTAGAGCACCTAAAGGCTCCTCCTTTGCTCCAAAACTAACCTCCCGGAACTTTAACTGACCTGTCAAACAATGTATTCATACAGGTAGGTAGATAAATTTTGGTTAACACAAGTCTTACTTTGAGCAGCAGGAAATATCACCAAAAAGGAGTAATTAATAGAAGCATAAAAATGGAGAGCTAGGCTAGATACAAAAAGAGGCTTCCAGCACTGCACCAGCTGTTACCCGAAGTCTCCAGCTCTAGTAACAGTTTCGCCTGCAGTCACTAGAGATTAGGACCCCTGGTCTTCCAGCACTTCCAAAAATGTGTCTTTCAGTTTCAATGTTACTTTAATGTACTTTCAAGTACTCCTCTTGTGTGCCTATAGGATAAAAATTAAAATGTTAATGGCCCAATGGTCACAAAAATATAGGTATCTTTAGTGTATTCCCTGGTTATTGTTATAATTAAAATAGGACATTGGATTTTTTTAGGGAGGAGTCTGTACCTCTTAAAGTCCACCTGTTGTAGTTCATTTAACACCTCTGGACAGATAGAGGTTAGTATTAAAAGTCTTATGGCAAATGCCATCTCATAGTTGTCTTAGTTCTATAACTTCTTGGTGCTACTATTCACCAATATTCTACTTGTAATTTTTGGTTCCTGTTTAACATGATTATAAAATGAAATTTAAGAGCCAAGCATGGTGGCACACACCTGTAATCCTAGCCCTCCAGAGGCTGAGGCAGGAGGATTGCTGTGAGTTCGAGGTCAGCCTGAACTATGTAGTGAGACCCTACCTCAGAAAAACAAAACAAAAATGTAGCTTAAGAGTCAATGACTTGCTAATGTCCTGCCCTCTTTTCTAAACTATCTCAGAATGATGGTTTGTTAGACAGCAAAACCCATCTTCCTGTGTTGCCTTTAGATTAAGTCAGTGAGACTTGGATACCTGTTTAGGAAGGGTCAGTGCCCCCAACCTGAAGCTGCCTTAGGAAGATGGACCTTTAGCTCCTCTGCATCCTTTAAGAATAAATATCAGGGGCTGAGGATTTAGCTCAGCAGTTTAAGTGCCTCTCTGGCAAGTGTGAGGTCGTGAGTTTGATCCCCAGTACAAAAAAAAAAAAATCAATGACAAGAATACATATCAGTCAGGAGAGAGGGAGTACAGAGAGAAAAGAAATAATTAAAAAGGAAAATAGAGAATTGTACTTTTATTTTAGTACTTCAGGACACAAAGCTCTGTGAGGTTATAATATCTACACTTCTGGGATCTATTTATGCTTCCAGACTTGTTTTTTCTTCCAGGCTTATCATACTGAAAATGCCTTAAAGATAAAAAATGAACCATAAATGAGCTCAGTGGATAAGGTAAAAGGCAAAACCCTGGTTTTAAGAAATGGATTTAGCCAGGCATGGTAGTGTTCCCAGTAATCCCAGCAATTTAGAGGCTGAGGCAGAAAGACTGCTGTGAATTTGAGACCAGCCTGAGCTACATAGTTAGTTCAAGGTCAGTTGAACTACAAAGCAAGCCAGTCTCTAGAAAACAAGCCGGGCATGGTGGCCTATAATACCAGCACTTGGGAGGCTGAGGCAAGAGGATTGCCATGAGTTTAATGCCAGCCTGAACTACATAGCAAGACCCTGTCTCAAAATAAATAAGCAAATAAAAGAACATATACTCAAGAAAACAAAAGCAAACAAATGGATTCAAAGCTTTCTTTCTTTTTTTTTTGTCTTTTTCCTTTTTATCGGTACCAGGGATCAAACTCACGACCGCCTGCTTGCAAGGCAGGTACTTATGCCGCTGAGCTAAATCTCCAGCCCCAGATTCAAAGCTTTCAATGAATGGGGCCAGGAATATGGCTCAGTGGCACAGTGCCTGCCTGGCAAATGCAAAATCCTGAGTTCAATTCTCATTACAAAGAAAAAAAAAGAAAAAAGATTCCATTTCTTGTATCAAAGTTTTCAAAGAATGTTTTTAGTTAGAATGCCTTTTTTTTCTTGAAACATGATCTCGTTATTATTAGGCTGCCCTTGAACTCATGAGAATCTTCCTGCCTCAGTCTCCTGAGTGATGAGATTACAGGTGTGCACCACCACGCCTAGCCTAGGTCATCCATTAAAAAAAAAAAAGATTCAAGATGTAGAATGTACAGGTACAAATTCCCCATGCTAAATGTGGTCGTTATGTATGCCTAAAATGTACCAATAAACTTAATCAGAAATTTTTAAAAACCATACATAGACATAGCAGCCTTGTAAAACGGCCTGTCCTTTCCCATGTCAAGTAAGCCATTCTGTAAACCAAAACAAAACTTTCACAAATTCCACAGACTTTTAGCCCCCAAAATATAAATATCCCCAGCTGCAGACCCTAATGCGCTTCTCTCTAGGGGGTCCTATATTCTACTCACCTGCAGTTCCACCCTAAAAACCTCTATGCCTCTCAAAAAGGAGAAAGAAAACCAGGCGTGGTAGTGAGTGCCTGCACTCCCAGCACTGGAGCCTGTGGCAGAAGAGTCCCAGAGTTCTAGGACAGCCCGGGCTACGTAATTCAGGTCAGCTGAATTGCAGAGTAAGATCTTGCCTCAAAAAGAAAGAAAAAGAGAGACAGACAGACAGAAGAAACTGGGCACGATGGCACATGTCTGTGATCTCAGCACTTGAGAGACTGAGGCAGGAGAATCGCTGTGAGTTTGAGGCTAACTTAGGCTCAGTGAGGTCTGTCTCAAAAATACAAAGAGGGAAGGACAGAAGGAAGGAGGAAGAAGAAGAGAAAGAAGGTCTAGGTAGATGTGGTAATGGCGAGTGCTGATGACGGAGTAGTGGGAAACCAGCAGCAGAGGGCTCTGTCCCAGTAGGACATGAAGACTATATTTTCTTTTCTTTCTTCTTCTTCTTCTTTTTTTTTTTTTTTTTTTTGAGACAGTCTCACTGTGTAGTTCAGCCTTGTCTCAAACCCATGGTGACCCTCTTGTCTCAGCCTCCTGAGTACTGGGACAATACGCATGTGCCACCACACCTGCCTGTATTTTCTTTTTCTTTTTGTTTCTTCTTCTTTTCTCTTTTCCCTTTTCCTTCTCCTTCTCTTCCTTCTCTTTTTCCTTCTTTTCTTTTTTTTGCACTAGGATAAAACCAGAGTCTCACATGCTGGGTAATTGCTCTGTTGCTGAGCCATAGCGCCAGCCCTTTTTATTTTATTTTTTGAGACAGATTCTTGCTAAATTGCCCATGTTGACCTTGAATTTGTAATGTCTGTGCCTCAGCCTCCCAAGTACCTGAGATTACAGGCATATGCTACTGTGCCTGTTTCCATATTTAACTTCATTTTATATACTGGCTATCACACTGCTAAAGCATGCTAGTGCATCTCCAAATGCTTTTTTCATGCATTA